AAAAAACGTGGCGCACTGAGAAAAGTACTACAGGCGTCTTGACGCTGACGCTTGGAACGCCAAACTCAGGCGGTGCGACCGATATTGACGGAGATTGGTGGAAGAGTAACTTCAAGTATGAAACGCGCTACGACTTAAAGAAACCGCACAAAACCTTCCCAGAACATCGTCTAGCAGTTTTTGCTTTCTTGTTGGAGATCCGACAAGAGTAAGCGATCTCAGAACCCCAACGCACTTTCGTCAGGCACATGTGTTGCTCTTCATCCGCGTCACATTCGTTGCAAGTCTCAGTCTGTATGCCTATGAGTTGACACTATCAGCAACTGAGTGCGAGATCAACTTCCGTCCTGAAAACTTGTTTCCAAAACCAGAAAGTGGAGACCAGAGACACGTACTTAGGTCCGGGCAAAGCGTCCACACGCAGCCTTTTCCAAAAGCAAAAGTAAAAGAGAAAACCGCGCACGGCAATCAGGAAACAAGCAACAATGACGGCAACGACGACGACGACGACGACGACGATAACGACAGCACGAAACAGCAACACCAACAAACCGAAAGTATACCAACAATGCACGCACCTTGCGGTCTCAATCGTGCTATAGATAGATGCGTTCTCGAAGGCACGTAACCGACGAGGACGTGCACAGAGCAAACAACAAACAAACGACGGCGTTTACGACAGGACAAGAAGAAGAAGAGAAAGAAGAAAAAGAAGAAGTCGGGGTCAAAGTCGCGGACGGACAAGCGGAAGCGAGCGAGGGAAAAGAGACGAAGCAAGAGCCGCAGTCGGCACAAGAGGTCGAAGAAATCCTCGTCGTCGAAGTCGAAAAAGAAGAAGTCGTCCTCTTCCTCTAGAAAGCCCAAGAAAGACAAAGGAGAGCGTGGAGGAGAAGTCCGGGAAAAAAAGTCAAAGAAGAAGACGGTAGGTGAAGCAGCAGCAGCTGTTGTTGTTTATGTTGTATGGTTCCAGATGGTTTTGTAAATGTCAATTGGTCTCTTGTCTTCCTTGCCGAAGAACTGCTGTACTCAAACAATCAGGTGGCATATAAATCTGCTTGGACGTTCAAAGCACACTGACTGACTGTTTGGATGCAACGAACTGTGTCGCGTAGGCTCCTGTCCATCAAATCTGGCGAACGTTGGCATCATGACTGCACCATGAATATACGTCGGTTTTGGCGAATGAAACGTTAGTTATCGTTCGATGGTTAACAGGGGGTGACGAAGGCAGGACCCGACAAGAAGAAGAGAGAGAAGGCGAAGAAGAGCTCCTCCAGCAAGTCGCCGTCGTCCAAGAAGCAGAAATAGTGTTCTAGTTAGTGGCAGGAGATGGTGCACTGGGCGTTATTATTACCCTCACTTTACCTGTTACGTCTCCGTAGCGGTTGCTCATACACCCAAGAAACGGCGAGAAGCAAAAATCGACACCGTAAGTACTCGTCGACGGTGATTGTACTACTACTGTTATGCCCAACCACAGCCTTGTTCGTAAAGACCGTAGAGAACTGGTGCCCCACACTAACACTCTGATTCATTCGTAAATGGTTGGGTGGAAGGTTTCTTCCTGCGCGCACTTCGAAGCAAAAACGTTTTTTTTTGTGTGGAAGGAGGGAATCGTCCTTGACAGGCGATGGGGAGATTGTACCCACCATGAAGGGGATCTCCACATTTTTGCTTGCGCGTGGGTTCGCTACGTCCGCCACTCCTAGAAGTTCCACACGTCTAAAAACTGTTATTGGTCCCCCGATTTTTTTTAGCATTTTTGGAAGTATGGCTGGTGGCGAGGTTTGAGCCCGAGTTGGTTTCCTCGTCCACCAAAATCAAACGTCGATCGTCGACGCCAACGTGAAAAGAGGGATCCTCGACAGCGGTAGGCTCAACCACCCACTTCTCCTACAGTAATTAATTCGAGAAGAACTGTGTCCATCGCGTGGAGCATTTTTTTTTCTTCCCATGCGGCTGTGGTGCTCAAGTTTGCTTGCATTACATGTTTTACGTATCCACGCTGTACATGGGTCGATGGCGGCGCGGCAAGCTCCGTAACAAACAGCGGTACTTCTCGCGCGATGTATTTGCCGACGAGGGTGCGTGTGTGTGTGGAGAGGAGAGGGGGGCACGAGGTGTGATTCCCTCACCAAACTTCCCAAAGGCAAGGAAGGTTGGAACATCAATCCACAGACGAATAATCGCGATTCAGCATGATGATTTTGTCAGTGTTCAGAAACCCATCCGTCCCCATGTAGCCGTGCCTCGCCGGTGGTCCGTTCTCCACGAGGACAGCCGATTGACTACGCCAACAGTCACGCCATCCGTTCTGGGGCCTCTAAAAGACGGATTGGAAGATTCAATCAATCGCAAGATAATCTGAGTTGTTGGACGACAAAAAATCGAACTAACCACACACCCTTTCCAAAACCACACACCAGTACTAAATAAAATACTGCGACGAAGCATACAGACCCTCCTGTACCCGAGACCCACCCCAACGGACGAACGGAGAAAAATTGGTACTTCATCTCAACGCCGAAAGACAAGAGTGGTGGCAAAACTCGCCCAAAACGACCACTGGAGCGGCACGATCAGGGCACGACGGCGGGCGGCAACAACAGCATCAACAACACGTTCACCAAACAACAAACGAACAAACGCGCGTAAAACACTCAACACTTTTGAGATGAAAATATTGTTCGCTCGAAAGAGACGACTGGCCAAATCTGTCCCGACTCCACGCGCGGACAGAAGGTAAGCTTTTCCTCGCCCCAGTGGACCAGGGTGGGCGTCGCAAACGGCGACAAATACAGATCAATCGTCGTGCAGCTTTACCTCCCAACGGCATTGTTTCGCAAATACACAAACAGCCACGCGCTGAAATTAATGTTTCCTTGTTTGACTCTGTAACGTAAACATACAGCAAAAATTCCTTCTCGATCGCATGATACTGCACGTTGCTTACAAGAGGTCAAGCAACACGACACAAACGAAAACGACACAGCAGTCCGAAGGCTCAGATCGGAAGGAATGCTCTAGTACTGCGATACACACAGTGTCGAGGGGTGCCGTGTCTCGCGTGCGCGCGAGGGGGGGGCGGGGGGGGTCCGAAAAAAAAAAAAAATGCTACGCACACAAAGAAGTTACAGGACGCAAAGCATACCTACTGTCAACGCGTTCGCTAATTTAAAAAAAGGCATGTACACTTCAACTTTAACTTGCGGGAAATCAAGGGCCCGCCAGAGACGCAAGGGGATGTATACATATAATCTTTAAAACCGTAGCGTAATGTGTCTCTACACATGAACACAAGCCACGGCAAACCGTCGCCCGAATGGGGCTCTCATTCAACGACGACAATGGACACAAACCGCAACACTGTCAGTTAATCGAAATAGTGGGGTGGAGAAAATAAAAGAAAAAAAGACAGAAAGAAAACGAACATCACTATCCTACAGTACAGCTGAGGCTCCCCGCAACAACAACTACAACAACAACTACAACAACAAGAGTTCGACTTCGTCGGCGCTTGGGTGTTTGCGCGTCCGAATCCACATCTCGCCTCGGCGCCGCGTTTACGTATGTAGAAAGTATGCCCTCCTTCTACAGCACGGCCGCCGATGAAGAGCGGAACGCAGAATAACGACAACAACAATCACAACGACAACGATTAAACAACATACCCAAAAAAGAGAACCATGATCATTAACATTGCTGTTGGAGTGTGGAGCCATCTCGGTCGTAGGTAACTTCTCTTCTGCGCGCCCCCTTTCCTATATCGGCGGCCGGCCTCGTTTTCTGCAGCTCCCTTTCTGTTGATATCGGATCCCTCGACAAAAAAAATCGCAACGAAAAACAACGGCCCCCCCTGAGTGTCACCGTTGTCGGTGTGGGACCATAAAAAAGCCCACTGACGTTTGTAACAACAACACAACACACAATCTGCATCACGCCCTATGTTCGCTCTCTTCTCATCTCCTCCCTCTTCGCATCACCTGTAATGCAGTCTACTGCCGCGTCTCGATTCTCCTACGACCGGAAAAACACCGCGCGCACGGACGGAGCGCTCGGCACACCCCGCTCAGCTTTGCAACCATGTCTACACAAAAACACCCCCCGCCTTGCGTGCGCAAGGGAACGACCGACACTAAAAAAAAAAAAAAAAAAAAAAAAAACAGCTCTCTAGAATCAAGCACACCGATACATCTCTGGTGGCGTCACAGCAGCGATCATTCACATCTCCAGAACCGTGGGAAAACAAGGAGACTTCACTCGCCGGTCGCAGAACGTCTGCTGCTGTAACCTGTTGGTCCGGTACCTAAACAACCCGGTCAAGGGAAGTAACGATCGGCCGACCTCGCTGGCCACGGCCGGCTAGCCCCCAAAAGCCAAAGGCGCTCCTTGGGCCACCCGTTGACTCACATACATATGTAGCTTGCCGCCAGCTGCTACAAAGGCTTCACCACGATCTCGTCGCACACAGGAACGGGACGGGGGCAGACGGGTCTCAAAACCTTACCGAACCAAGGAAAGAGGGGAGGAAGGGACACAGGACGCGCGCCATCAAGAGCCAGATTCTAGGAAGGAAATCCCACCAAAAAACGAGCCCTTGCCGACAGCTAGCTTTCTAGGGACACAAGAGAGAGCTCACGACAAAACGACCACATCGAACGCACAACGACGGCAGTGGAGAGGGCTCTAAAAACCACCTACCGGGTACACGGGGACACTCGTCCTGACACCGCCGCCGGGGAGCAACAATCAAGACACCCACCCACCCAGCAGCTGGACAGTTCAGCTGAATCACCATTTTCGAAGGAAAAAACATACAGCCGAATAAATGCCACTTGTACTTCACCCAGCACCGGCCGTTTACGCGTCTCTTCTTTAACACCCAGCCACACACGGGTTCAGACGCCATCCGTCGATCTGTTTTTCATGTTCGCCCCCGCCCCCCGCCCCCCGCCCCCCCTCCAGCTTCCGCCGGCATCACCCCGACACACCAACAACAATCAGTACGGCGGTGGCTGCGGAGGCCCCCCCGGGTGGTGCCCCACCATCGGCGGTCCCATCATCACCATGCCGGGGTGGTGGTGCTGGGGGTGGTGGGGGTGGTGGTGCTGGGGATGGTGGTGAGGGTGGTGCCCCATCGGGACCACCACGCCGCCGCCGCCGCCGCCGCCGCCACCGCCCGGGTGGTGCGGCACGACCCCTCCGTGGACGACGTGAACCCCGCCCCCGTGTACCCCGCCGCCGTGCACGAGACCCCCCGCGTGGCCCCCTCCGTGCACACCCCCGATCCCCATCGCCATCCCGCCCCGGCCGCCACCGTTGCTGCCGCTTCGCCCCCCGCCGCTACCACCCTGGCCACCGCGAGAAAGCACGCCGCCGTGATGGCCATGGCCGTTCGCGGCATGACTGCCTCCCTTGTTGCCGCCACGGCCACCACCGCCGCCAACGGAGGAGGAGGGGGCGGAGGCCGCATGCTGTTGCTGCTGCTGCTGCTGCTGCTGCTGTCGCTGCTGGGGCGGCGGGCCGGCGTGACCGGAGACCTCGGCGAAGGCCTCCTCGAGGCAGCGCTTCACGTCCGCGAACGACACGACCAAGAGAGAGCGCCTGTCCCTGCTGGTGAGGAGGATCTTCTCCTCGTTACCGGCGTCGAGGAGCGACAGGCTCTGGTACACGTGCCCGAAGTCCATCACCGGCTCGCCGTCCGCATCCACCTGTGTACATGCGTACATGTGTGTGTGCGTGTTTTTATGGAGTAAACATCGGCCGCGCAATTTAGCCGGCTGACCAATGAAGAGACGCCAGTCTCAAAGCGGTTCAAAACAAAAAAATGTTTCCAAAGGCCATCACCTGTGCGTGTGTGTGTGTGTGTGCCATGGTTATTGGCATCGACCGCCCTAACCGGCGTGCCAATTTGTACTTGGAAGTATGTGTGTGTGCCTTGAACTTGCTTTTTTAAGTTTTTAAGTTTTATTAAACCTATGAAGTATCGACCGAGCTAGCCGGCTTGACCAAGGAAAATACGTCGGTCCTAATGCGGGATTCATCGTGTCGGCGTCGTCATCGCTGTCGCTGACACCCGAAACTTCGACAGGTAGCGTCAAACAGGGAGAGACTAAAACCGCAGCCCAGCCGGTGCCGGTGCCATATACCATCCTGCAAGTCTCGCCGAACCAAGAGCCGACCTCCTCCTTCGAGGAAACCTAAAAGAACCCAACCACACATTTCCTCACACACGCTGGTCTGACATACTGGGCGGGCTGGGCAAAAGTACACCCACGCACGACTCGCCACACCAAACTGATGCAACAACAACAAAATAGTCGCAAGGAAAGGAAGAAGACAAAGAAACATCAACCACACACACAAAGGGCAACGAGAGCACCAGAAACAAAGCCGCCAGCACGGGCAGGCGAACGCGCACGAATGCCCGCACCTGGTGGAAGAGGTAGTCCCTGAAGAGCTTGAGGATGTAACGCTCCCCGGTCTCCGACCACTCCCCGACCCCGCCCTGGTCGGGCCTCTCGTTCAGAGTGCCCAGTTTCAGGAGCAGCCGCAGCAGCCGCCCGTTGTCATACTCGCTGTATTGTGTGTTTTTCGCGATCGTAGGTCGTTGTATCCCATGTGAAGCCATTCGTTTTGTCCGCGCCCCCCCCCCCCCAGGGCGCGCCGGGAAAAAATAGGTAGGGAAGAAGGACGTCGCACACAACGGCAGTGGTGGGAAGTGGCAAGACAAGCGAGGTAAGGTTGGAGTCCAGCACAAACGGACGAACATCGCAGTGAGGACCGACTAAGAGAAAGATGAGGCGAAAACGAGACACGCGTAGGGGAACAGCGGCGGCTGGCTTTTGCTGCGTACACGCTGTCGCAATTCGCGCACACAGAAGGACTGAAAAACCAACACCCATTGCACAAAAAAACACACACATGCCTGCTTTGCGGAACACACCGTTCGTCAAAAGTCCTCAGCCAGACCTGCGACTACCGGACACAAACAAAGCGTGTGGGCCAACCAACGCCACCACCACTGACTACCGCCCTCCTTTTTCGCGCGCGCGCGCGTCTCTCTCTCTCTCTCGCGCGCGCGCTCTCTCTCTCTCGTTGTGCCGTCCCGCCCGTACCTTGCCAAGTGGCCCTGAAGCGCGCCGTTTGCCATCAGCGTGTTCTCCATGGCGTCCATGGTGTGATGGGCGGTTGCCACGCAGACCTGACCGTAAAATAACAAACAACAAAAGTGTCGTGGGGTATGCAGTCCGTCAACAACAGCAGAATTGTGATCCACACGTCGCCACACAATGAATGTCCATGTTGGGCACAAAATCTTGCAAAATAACAAAAAAAAAAACACTCGTCCGGTTGCATCCAACAAACGCTGCCAAAGTCCATCTTCCGTGTTGGCAGCGATTGCGACCGACTACGTTCTCGTTCCGTCCTCGCTCTTTCCACGGACAGCGGGCATTGCGTTCTGTCCCTCCCTCCCTCTTTTCTTGCCCCCTTCGTCCCTAAACCACGGTGCTCAGCCGCAGACAGGCCTTTCGTGCAAACACAACAACCGTTGCTGCTGTGTTTGTTTCGCGTTTAGCACTACCTCATACGAAGCACTCCAGTGCTTCCGGTGTCGTCTGTATGCTGTGCGTGTGCCCCACAAGATCGGCAAGGAGTGTGCACGAAGGACAGCAGTTCGCACTTTAGTCTCGGCGTTTTCAAAACCCGCACAACAGATCGCTACGCATGATACGTGAAAAAAAGGGCTCACCAACAACATTTCTACTGAATATATGGTTTTGGTTCTGCACACTATTTTTTTTAACGTTTGATACCTTGTTTTCCCATCCAGCAATGTATGCATGCATGCATGCGTCCCTACTGGGTGTCTGCCTTCTTTGCTGTAGATCTTGCCGAGTCGCTGCATACGACAGTGCTGAAACCACCACCGCTCTCACCTCGAAAACGCTGGGAGGCTTCTTCGACACGAGCGACGCCGCCAGGTTGTGCAGCTCGGGCGTGTAGTGTTGCGCCGTGAACGCGAGCGATTCCCCCCGGGAGGCGACGGTGACGGGATGTCGGCACGCCAGCGCCAGGATGAGGCTTCCCAGGTCCACCATGTCTTGCCGCTGCAGCTCGGAGACCTGCCCGAGCGCGCGGAGTTGCATAAAAAAGCACACCACACCAGACGACGAAAGTATCGCATCACGCACTTAACCGAAGGCAAACACTGATTTTGATTGTCCGTGTCGGTGCTGCTGTAAATAATTTTCACCGCAGTATGCACACAATCGCCTTCCTACATTTCCCTTGGAGTCTTCCTGCCTGCTTGCCTGAATGAACACGACACGCTAGAATGCGCTACGCGGAACCAGACCTCGAGACCCCGGCCGCAAATGCCACAGCTTTTGTCACAACCTCAAAGTGTGCACGGCAGACAACGGAAAAGAGTCAAACCCGGACCATTTCGTATCGCACGTAAACGTGGTTGTTCACAAAGAGACCGTGTCGTCAAAACCCGACCCTTTCTCATCGCGAGTAAACGTGGTTGTACACCGTGTCCGAGTCAAAATTGAGCCTTTCTCAACGCAAGTAAACGTGGTCGTTCCTTAAGATACCGTGTCCCATCCCACCCCACTCTGACAAACCCCGCGAACCCCCAGCAACAACAGCAACAACCCTTGACTTACCTGCTTGCGCGTCTCGTACTCCAGGACGTCCAGGCAGCCGACCCAGTTCACCCGCACCCGGTCTCCGACAAGGCAGTACAGCACGCGGCTCGGGTGGACGTTGCGGAGCGCCGCCCCGGCCGCGTGGGTCGCCCGCAGCGCGCCCAGCAGCTGGCACACGAGGCGCCACAGGAGGCCCTCCGAGAGCAGCCCGCCCTGCCTCTGGATGAACCGCTCGGACAGGGTCTCCGCTCCCGGGTGGAAGTCGGACACGAAGAAGAGAGCGTTGCGATGGAGGAACGCCTGTGGCATTTGTTTGTATATTACCACCGGTGAGGGGGGGGGGTGAGAGATAATAGGAACATGGTTTTTCAGGCGGTCGTCGGGGGGGGGGAGTGTTGTAGATGCCAGGGAGGGAGGGAAACGAGGCAACACAAACGCCGTGATAATTGAATGCAACCCAATACATAGCACGGGTGTCGCGCGGAGGGGAGGGAATCGGATTGTCCTTGGGGTGTGCATGCGTTACGCCGGCTGAGCATTAGGAACATTAACATCTATATTGCAGACACGCTTTCTAGGTGCTCCGCGGGCTCCCCCGACAGGGGCACAGCGGAGTAGGTTTAGAGTGTGCGTGGGTACTGTATACCACCACGTTAGCGCGGGGCGGGGGGGGGGCTGTTCAGGAAAGGAAGGAAGGAAGGAAGGCATTACAGGCCCCTCGGGGCGGGACGTGGCCCCCCGTCCATGCCGATGCAAATGCTTCTGCATCATGATCATCACCATCACATCACAACAAGCGAACAGCACCCCCCGAAGCGAGTCACAACGGTTCTTGTCTCTGTCTTCCCCACCTCTCGAGGGCGGGTGATGGCCGGGTGCTCCGGCATGGACAGCCAAATCTCCGTCCCCATGGCCACGATCTTCGCCGTCGTGCGCGCGGTGTCGAAGCGGCGCAGGGCAAAGGCCTGCCCGTTGTGGTGCTGGATGACCTGCGAAAGCGACGAGGACACCAAGACAAGAGATAGACCAGCGGTTTACCACCACCCACAGACACACGAACAAAAACAACAACAAGAAACAGAGCGAAGCAGCCGTACTCTGTCGAAGCGCATCGGCAAAAGGTGACGCCATCAGGCCGGCCGAGCGAATCGCCCACGGTTGCAAGAGAAGCTGAGCAAGCGGCATCCTGCATGCACAACGCAGGCTGGCCGGAAAACCAAGACACAAGATGGTGTCAGGAGCTCGTGCGGTGTTGTAAAAGCTTCGCAGGTGCTTGCTCGTCAACAGGCGTGGTCGTGACACTGCTGCGTTGTGCTGTGCTGTGCTGTTTGAGGTGTTCAGTGTTTTAATCCTCCTCAACAAAAAGGCAGACGTTTCGCCGAAAACCACGACGCCGACCGGTCATTCAGACAACGGGATCCTATCGGCAAATGTCCCCAACACAGGTGCTTGCCACGGACGGGCACGGTAACCACGTGCACCTACGAACGGAACGGAACCGCTTGCCTGGCGCCAAGTCGCGCGTTCGCCTTTTGCTTCCGAGAGACAGTGAATATCAAAAACACCCTCTCTTGTCGCTGCATCTTCTCGTGAGTTGGTTGCCCTTGTACACGCGCGTACAGTAGTAGATAGACGAAACGGAACAACATCACACCCAAAGTTCGAGGAGAGGCTTCGTTCGTTCACACCTTGTAGGTCTCGCTGGGGTAGCCGAAAGACCCGGCGGTGCCTCGAGTCTTGGAGGCGTCGTCCAGCGGGAAAGCGGCGTAGAACTGCGGCGGGATCTCCTTGAGCCGCTCGTCGTCGGGGGGAAGCTGTCGGAGGACGCTGAGGGAGTGGTTCTGGAACTCTGCCCACAGCTGCTCCGGGACGGCCGTGCTGCGAAGTTAGAACACGGCGGGGTGCTAGAACGTCAGCAGGGCGACACGATGAAAGGTTATCCTTGGCAATTTGCTCCAAGAAAAGGGACGTGAAGTTGGGAAGCAACCAGAGAGGTTGACAGGAAAGATAAAGAGAGAGAAACAAAGGCGAGATACTGTAGTAGTAGCTTCGACAACCTCTCCACCCAATCCTGAACATAAACGTTAGCGGATCGGTACTCGGCCACAATGCAGCAGCATGGGTTGACCTCTGAGGGCTCTTCTACTATCGTTGGCCATCCGCCGGCCCGTGTCGCTTCCCCCCCCTCGGACACACCAACAGAGTCATGAACCTCGGACACAACAAATCATGAACCTCCACGCACGCACAACGGACGGTCGTCAACGCCCCCGGAGCACGCGAGGAGAGATCAGCCTACGGCAGCCGTGGTGTCTGCAAGACTGCTGTACGAATACCTGTGCATGGTGCGTCTCTGCGGCGCGGCGAGCGCCGCCGACCCTGCGGCCCACAGGAACCCTTCCTCCTGCGGCCCGTACGCTTCCGGCCCGACGAGCTCGTCTGTCGCCAGCGCCTCGCTCTCCGGCACGAAGTAGATGGTGCCTCCGCGCACCACCTGGACCATCTTTTCCGGCCCCGTCCCCCCCCCCGCCGCCGCTTCTGCTGCTGCCGATCCAGCGGCATCTCCGCTGCCGGTACCGCCGCCGCCGGGTACGAACTCTTGGGCGAATGCGGTGAGGTCGGAGGAGTCCGCGGTCTTCGCCTCTGCGCCGGACCGCCCGCCCTTCTTGCTGGCCTTGCCGGGCGGTGCTCTTCCCCCTCCTGATGCTGCCGCTGCCGCCGCCGACGCGGCCCCGCCAGGCACGAACTCCGCGGCGTGCGCCTTGAGACCCAAGTTGTGCTCTGGGCTCGACGGCATCTGAGAGAAGTCTGTTCCACGGCCGCCGCCGCTGCTGCCGGCGGCACGGCCGGGGTTGTCCGCGAGCGGCGGCGGCCTCCCGGCGGTAGTGGTGCCTGCTCCTCCTCCTCCTCCCCGGCTGCTGCTGCTGCTGCTGCCCCCCCCCTCCGAGCGCGAGGGGACGATCCCGCGAATGTCTGGCGAAGGGTGCTGCTGGTGCTGCTGGTGCTGTTGTTGATGTAGTTGATGCTGGTGCTGCCCGAAGCCGCTGCCGCTGCCGCTGCCGCCGCCGCCGGCAGCGCGTCTTGCCTCGTCGACGGCCTGCTGTTGCATGTGCGGGGAAGAGTGGTGTCTCGTTGCTGCCAGCATCGGCGAGAGTTTAGGGAAGTAGTCACCCCCGCCGCCACTGCCGCCACCCCCACCACCGCTGCCGCCTGCGCCATGTTGAGACATGTTTCAGTTTTGTCTTGGTCTTACAGAGAGCGGAGGTCGCGTTTTGGTGTGTGCAGGCTGCGGCTGTCCTTGGCAGCAAGGTGTGGTTCGAGCAGGTATTGGGGTCCAGGCGTGGAAGGACAAGATGCCAGACGTGCGTGCTTTGAAATTGTGCGTCTCCTTCGTCTGGCGCTTGACCCCCAGCGAAAACTGCTGCTCGGCCTGCTGTGAATTCAGTGCGCACTGCTTTAGGTTTTGAGGAAGGGGATACGCAAATTGCTTTTGCGCATACTGCCTTTACGGGGGTGGGGGGCACCGTGAGCTCACCGGATGCCCTCGTGCGGTGTGGCAGCTCAGAGAGCTGGTCTCGCGGTTGCAGTCAAGGCTCTCGCGCGTCATGTTTCGGGAGGTGAGAGAAGCAACGAATTCATTGGCCACCCTCTGATGATGCGTAGAACGTGGGACTACACTATGAAATATCTCGATGTGCTGTCGCCGTTGCCATTGTTCTTGACCCGTGTCACCTGCCACACTCTCTCGCGAAGTATCGTATCATTCCTGTGTGCGCTGCACCGGGCGGTTGTTACATAACTCGGTGTGAGTTCAGCGATACTTCTGCGTGGGAAGACACTTCTCGTCTATCTATCTAATTTTGCCATGAAATTTCCCCCCCGACGTCCGACAAACTGCGAAACCGATCGGCAGTGGGTGGATCATGACGCTTCCCTTGTCCTCTGAATCGTCGTTTCATCGAAGGCAACCTAACCTTCGTTGTTGACAGCAGTTCCTGGTGTAGGTGTTGCACCCTCCGCTCGTAGACTGCTTAGACCATCGATTGTGGTGATATTGGTTGTACCTTGTGCCGCGAAATGGCGGACCTGTAGAGGATGCCCTTATGCTCACACATGACTCTTTTGTGGGTATCCAAGCACTACTGCTGTAGACATGCACAAAAGGGTGACCGCGCTTCTCGATTCAGGGCTATACTTGTACGGCGCGGCAACTTTTGGGCCACCCCAATGGCCCACACCATTCACGTCACCTGTAAATAAATGCCAACATGGTTAGCGGGTGCAAGCTTGCAGCCTTATTCCTATTTTCAAAATGCCGTTGTTCTGGTGTGTGTTCTTTGCGGTATATTCCTCCGCACATGTATGAATACTTGGTGAATAGCTGAATAGCGTTCAACTTGTAAACTCAAAATAAGAGAGCAGGCCCAGTTTCCAGCCGGTTTCTCTCCACTCACTGAAAAGACTTGAGCACATCCCTTTCGAATGTGGTTATATCTCGAGCGGGTAGTCTTTCTGTGAGATTATGTTTACTCTCTAAAAATAGCGTTCCCACGGGCCTTTCGCATCTACTTGCTTGGACGTTTGCGAACAGACCACCGCCAACAGAGCCTCTCTGCAGCGATCTGGAGGCGGAGCGGGGGCGATGGTGAAAGGGATCGATCCGAGGCTGATGCAAACCGTCCCTCTCTCGAAGCAGGACACCAAGGGCAACTCGTTCCTCCGCCTTTGTAACCTGCTCAGCTGGTCCACCATTCTTGCAGGTACTCGTCGATGCCCGCGTGTTCGTTGTGTTTATGACGGGCGGAAGAGCCTTGGACCGGGAGGGGGGGGGGGGGGTCAGGGATGGCAGAGGAAGACGTGACCAATACGTCTCGGTAGTTGCGTACATCGAAAGGCAATCGTTTGGGGTGCGCATGTTTTCGCATAGACATCTCCAGGTATTGGGAGATGTTCTGCAAGATTCTTCACCCTTGAGAGATTTCTTGTACAGCTTCGATGCACATGGTCCTTGCCGCAGTGGGTAGGTAGTGTGCGATAGTGTTGTCAGAGGTTCTGGCTGCCGGCTCTATTGCTCCGCAAGCCGACAGGGCACCACCGCCAAAGATGGTGGTTTTCGGAAAGATCTCGTCGAGAGCTTTGGTTTTAGGCCTGTGTCATATCTGCCCATTTCGAGCTACAAAGGGTCGGTCCATTGTAGGAGGGGTGCGATCACGCGCTCAACCTGCTGTGGTGTCCCACCTGTTGCTCACGGCGTTTGGACCGTCGAAGAGCAATTCCAGCCCGGCCCACCTCTTTGTCTGCGGTTCGTTTGTGGGAGGGGGGTGGGGCGGACGACTTCTGGAGCCTCTTGCGTGATGGACAAGGTTTTATATACATATCCACATGTGGTCGCTTGTGGCCAGTGGAAAAATCTAACGTTACGGCGACACGTAGAAAACTGCTTGGGCGTTGAGGACGAAAACTGCTTGGGCGTTGAGGACGAAACAGGCGTCTCCCGAACAAATCCGTATCAGTCAGGCGGGGTTGGACATGAGAGTCGGTCATCCCTTCTTTGTCTCTAACCCCCCCCATTCTCCACCCGGGCCTCCTCTCTATTTTCAGCGCCGGGCTGCCTGTGAGGTACCCAGAACTTGTGAACTGCTATCTATGCATACCAAGTAATTTTCTCTGCGCTATGATCGATTGTCCCTCTGTGAACGCCACGGTTCGTTGCTCCTCCGTAACCGGCTCGTGTTTTTTTTTTTTCTGTCTGTGTGCCTCTCTTGTGTGTTTTCGGGGCATACTGTAGCAACCTTCGCTGTGGTTCTGGACGTGATACTGCTGCTGGTTGTCGGGATCGAGGTGAGCGATAAGTTAACACAAAGAGAGAGAGACGACAACGAATACAAAAACAAGGTGTAACGTGTAGCCCGGGGTCCGGACTCGGCCGGCAATTGGGGGCGTCCTCGTCTTAAGGGCGTGCGTCCGAAGGCGTTAGCTCGCTTGATGGCCAGGAAGACGCTACAGAAGCTGGCCTGTGGGATGGGCGCCGAACACATGTGCTGGCGAAACGTCCCCCCCCCCCCTCTCTCTCTCTTGAGTCCGTTTCAAAATGTTCGTTGGAGCCAACAGGGACTTGCATGCTTCGTGTGTGGGCGTGGCGAAAAGACCTATTATTCTCTGTGATGGTACTTTTTTGTGTGTGGCGCTCTACGTATGTACATACATGTATGAGATGGAAAGGAATATGCATACGGCAAAAGAAGAAAGCGTAGCACTGTCCTGCACCCAGGCAGGCTTCCTGAAATGTACCATAGTATCATAAGGTGCGGCACTGGCCCTAATTAGTAGAAGTAGGTTAGTTGGTTCCCGTGAGACGAGGTGGCTCTAATTTGCTGTCATTCATCCATGCTAGAACGTGTGTCAGAATATAATTTGAAGCCTCCAGGTGCCCTATTCGACTATTCAGCTCGGATGTCGAGTTTGGCCTCAACTTGTTGAACTTACATGGAGAGAAACGGTCGCATGCACGCATGCATAGGGCAGTATTTTCGTGTGTAAGGTATGCTCAACTGTTTTCAGGTTTTTCTGCAACTTAACCACCCATCCGCACAGAAAATCGAGATATTTAACGACGGCTGTTGTGGCTCGCCCTGACACCTCTCTCTTTTTTTTTTTTTCCTCAGTCCATGCTCGTGCCGGTTAAACGCCACTGGTTCTGTTGCCCCTTCTTTTTTTTTTCCGCGGCGCGCCGGTGGATAGTAAAAAAGAACGATGATAGGATTCGTTTGACGCCTGCTTCAACGGTGTTTTGTTTCTTTCGGTTTACAGGGTGCAGAGGCCACCTTGCACTGCTTTGGGATCCTGATGGCTCTGTCGATCATTCTGGCGGAACGGGAGGTGGTGTTGCTGCTGAGATACTGTGCCTTCCTGGAGTCTTGGGTACTCAAGGGATTCTTCATCTCTTTGTGAGTATTGTACAGCTGTATTTATGTAGTACTTCTTTTTCTAGGCGTTGGTTTTTGGTCCTGCTGTGGGTCGCATATTACGCGACGTTCATGGGTGTACGAAACGATGTATGGCAGCCTCGTCGTGTGTGTGTGTGTGTGTGTTTTATTATTAGCATCGACCGCGCTAACCGGCTGACCAATGAAAACACGTCAGTCTCAGTGCGGTTGTGTGTGTGTGTGTGTGTGTGTGTGACCACCAGTTAAAGAATGCAGCTGATTTTTCTTGCGAACAGCTAACTTGTATTTTTGACGCGCTAGAGTTGTTTTTTCTTCTTGTCAAGTTCAACTACTGCTGTGGTGGCCTCAAGAACAGTTCGCGAATTGCCGTTGATTTTTCGCGTGACGACGCTGGCACAACAGATAACATGAGCATGTATGATATGGTATGCGTCAGCGCTCGCCCCCCCCCCCCCCCTCCCCCTCCGCTAACCCCAACACCGGTTTGTTGCGTACCGTGGGTCAGCGTGGGGACGTTGCTCTTGGGCTTCGAGCACGGCGGAATTTTGCTGGACTTGTGGAGAAGGATAGGGGGTTTCATCCTCATCGCTGCTGGAGTGCTGTACGTGATGTTGGTGAGTTTGGGCTCCGCGATCTCGCCGGTTTGTTTGGGGCGACCAGCCGGGATGCTGGCGTCGACGTTGTTTGTTTCGGTTGGTGATACTCTGGACAGGCCCCTTTTTTTTATTGGTCTCGTTGACTCTTTTGCCGCCGGGTCTGCATTGGGATGGTCATGCCCCGCTCCGCTGTTTTGGTGAATGTCCTTTCCCCTTCCCCAAGTCTCGACGTATCGTACACGGAGATATACACGGGCAGAGGAAAAAAATGTTCAACACTAGAAAAAGAAGTGTATGCTAAGGAACCACCCTCCGAGCGCGCCGAAGACGAAGTGAAATATTTCAGGCGGAAGAGGGGTGATGGGTGGGGGAGCCAATAGCGAGAAAGAAACCTAGACCTTGAATATGAACAGCAAATGTTACGAGTTTTTGTTTGTTTGCCTCTTTTGGTGATGACCTCTGGTTGCTATGTTTGCCATTGATTCCTGTATACGTCGTTTGTTTCACCGATCTCCCCCCGGTTGACCAACGAAGGACGCTGCTGTGTGATTGTGCAGGGCGCGCTCTGCTTCCGTCAGCTGCGGAGCTACCAGCTGGGAAAAATCAGGCGAAAAAAGGTGGGTGCAAAGCTCGCCGCCGCCCCCCGCCCCCCCTGCTTCATACTTGTAGTTTTTTTGTGCCTTCGTTTCTTTCGTATTCGGCGGAAATCGTGTTGATGTCGTTGTTGTTGTTGTTGTTGTTGTTGTTGTTGTTGTTTCTGTTGCGGCCGTCGGTGGCGGTGTGTCGCCTCGACCGTTTCGAGTTCGAGTTACCTGCTGGATGTATCTACCCTCTGGCAGCAGTATGCCTCTCTCTGCTTTGACAGACGTGGTAGACCACGTTTTGCCGCAAAGAGTAGCGGCCCCTGCTATCGGCCGCCTATTGTAGTGCCAAGGGATTTTTACGGTCTCATACCGCGAGCCCGACGCTGTTCAGAGAAATTAAAATCGGTGTCACACGATTATTATTACCGGCGGCTTGATACAGGGGTACCGGCCTTAATTATGCATCATCATACTACAGGGACCACCACAATTTATGTGCCGCTTAGTTCGTAAAATGCGCGACAACCCAGCCGGCGTGCTTGCATCTAAGATGGCAGAAAAAATCCATCGGCCCCGTTGTTATGATGAGGCAGAAGCCTGTGTTCCAACATGAAGGCGTGGTACCCTATCGTTTGTATTGTTACGAAATGTTTGCGTGCGTATCGCGGTTGCTTGATATAGTACTCGCACGATTGTTGAGCTTCTCCCTGCGGGTCTTGCTAGCTGGTCGTGGGGTGTCTGCCTGCGTCAAGGCAAACGGCTCTTGCGTTTTTGTGCATTTGAGTCGGGAAGGGCACAGGTTTGTCATGTTTTCGGAACGCGAGCTGTGATGTGACATCATTAGGATGATCGTTGGTCTTGGATGTTGTTGTTTCGGCTGAGTTTCCAAAACCTATTTGTTTCAGTTTGGTGTTTGTTTGCATTGTGCTCATGTGTTTGCCGTTGAATACCCACCACCCAGTTGTTGTTCGTTCTCCGTGTGTTTACAACTACTTTCTTTGGGTACCTGACCGTCTTGACGCTCCCGAGTATGCGCACCCCAATCGCCCTCCGCCCCGCGCGACGTACGCGCAGATGATGAGACAGGAGCTCTTGTCTCTAAGCACGCAGAAGGAGCAGATCGAGAAGCTCTTGGCCGACACGGAATCAAAGCTGGAGCTCTTGTGAAGCCGGACGCTAGCACGAGGGACCGGCCGGCTCTCCTCGCGCCCCCCGAAACCATTCGGACAGCATCTTGAGTCCAAAAAAGGAGATAGAGAAAAGAGAGAAGTGATACAATACATTGCACGGAGGACACAGAACCCCTGCTGTCCACCGCTACTGTAGTATTGTGGTACCACCACCCACAGACGCCCCGTGCCCCCAGTAATGAGTGATTTCGGACGGTTGTCTACTGTTTTTTGGTGCGGTGACGGGGTAGGCGTGTGACTAGCAGGGTTTGGAGAACGAGAAAGAGAGCGAGAGGGCCGAGAGAGAGGAAGCAATACCATGTGATTTCATTTTTTGTTGGTGTGTTTTTACTGACCCTCTCTCTGTGCCAGAGAAGTATTATAGCGGGATCGCTCATCCCAGGGGGTGGGATTACCTCTGGGAATGTTGGGCGGATGCGCGCGGTGATGGCAGTGGTTTCAACGAAGGTTTTATCATATCGCGTTGCGTGCGTGTTTTGGTGCGGCGAAGTTACGTGTGTGGTGTTGGGAAAGGACGCCTGCTGTGTGTACAGTTCTTGCTTTGAGACTTTTCCGACTCGACCGAAGTTGTTTCAAGTGTGTGCGTGCACACCAACTCTCGCCGTAGTCGCTGTCGCTCGCACGCGCCCAGCCTCAAGTAGCACTCGCTCTCTCTGCCTCCCGTAGTTGTTGGTTCGTCTTGCGAAACGATAACGGTTGGAATGACTCGAAACCGTAAGGTAAGCATCAGTGGGGGGGGGAGGAAGACGGAGATAAGTGAGTCCTGTTGTTTTCTCCGTCTCGTGTCGTATTTGTCGTGTTGTAAGGAAGGGCTGCTGTACGCTCGATCTACATACATTCCAGTGTTTGTTGTGAAATTCTTCCAAGTACGTCGATTGTTTTTCCTTGTGTAACTGTACGCAAGGGAGTGCAGCATGTACGCCACCAAGTGTGGAGGGAGCGGGTTCAGTGTGTGTCGTGTGCCCTTAGGCGGTGGTTTTTAACGTATACCCGATGTTTGCTTGTGGTTTTGGTGGTGGTTCTGTCGATTCTTGTGACGTAAGGTCTCTGTATTATGGTATATTTTCTCCATCTCTACCTCCTCTGTCGCTGTTCATGGAGGGTATGCATAAATGAAAACGACATCGTTGTCATCCTTTTCACTGCCTACACCTTGGTGTTTAGAGATATGTCGGCGCTGCCTCTTGGCAAGTACCACAGCAGCAGCAGCCACAGCAGCAGAAGCAACGATCTCATGCTTCCAACAACGAGTGCTCAGCAGAGGCTTACAACGTTGCCTGCCGGATCCGCACGGAAAGGAGGTACGACGAGGGAAAAGTTCGACAGCAGCAGCGAAATAGTTCAGGCCTTCTCGCGAAAACCAGGCACTGCCTACGTGCAAGGTACGTGACGCGGCAAGCCGCATCGGGCGCGCCGATTGGCTACGCAAACAGCCCCCACGACACGACCACTTGAGCAAGCGAAAACTGCTCCTGGCTTGTGCGACCAAAAAGAAAGGCAATAATGCCCGCGTCAGGTGGACAGGTTCATCGCAGACGACGACGACGTTCACGTCGTGTCTCCCACCACAAGGTAAGACTGCTACCTGCTACCGGATATTGGCGCTGGACCTCCTTAAAATGTTGCGTTTCGTGTTGGACCCACGCTTCAGATGAGGCATACATGCGTTCCCTGCAGGCTGGAGGTCGACAAGGTGGTGCCCTTTCTTGTGGCCGTCTATCGTTACACCTGTCTCGGAAAAGGCGGCATCTTACGCAGTTTCATGCGCGTACAACTGCAGACGAAGGACTGTCACGACGTACGTACGCATCACACATTGTTCATTAAGCCGACTTTTCCCCAGCCCGCGAATTTGAGAGCGGGTACTAAATGCTTTTTTCACAACGACTCGCCGAACACTCACATACAAGAGAGAGATATCGTAATCGAAAAGGAGAGACACAAGGGGGAAAGAAGGCGCCGCACGGGCCAAATCAAACCGCGCATCCCTTGCGGTCCCGATTGGCCGGACAGGCACCCTCGACACTTGAAGAAAAGAGGCGGGGTATCTCGTCTTAAAAAACATTACACCCTGCTACTATTGATGATATCACACAACTCAAGCACTACAAAAATTAACAAGAACGAAGTAGGAGGAAGGGCTACAAAAAGGAATATACAGTCAACAAAGGAAGCAGGATGTCTGTCGGTTGATGAGCTGGTGGAAACGCAACCACTACCGCGATACCACAGTGGACAGGTAAGGCATTGCAACGTGCGACGAGCACAACAAAATCGTCTCTCGATCGATTCCAGCTCTGCCGCGAAAAATCGTCTTCGGACGCGCACTTGCTCGATGAAACGCTTAACGCCCCCGCAACCTCCCGCGCCCAACGTACGCTATGCATGCACTCCCTCGCCCCCGCCCCCTCGCCCCACAGACCCAGCACGCGGAAAACGTGGGGGTCCGATGTATCGACCAAGTAATGTACCGATCGGCTCTCCAACCGGCATCGGCACTATTGCCATGGCTACCGCTGTCTTCACAATGCGCTACAACGGATTCTTGTCGTATGGCTCCGTGTCGTAGTAACATGGCTTGAAGGCAGAGTTCACGTACTCCGCTGCCTGTCGTCGTCGTCGTCGTCGTCGTCGTCGTCGTCGTCATCGGATGTGAGAAAAAAGCCAATCGAAGCAGACGAATGACGTACGAGGAGGAAGAGAAGGTACCATCAGCGGTGTCCACACGAGATTTAAAAGAGGCGGGAGCTTCGCGGAATGCCGCCACCACTTGGTGCTATTGCCCACAGCATTGAACAAGCACGTGAACGTGCTATTCACTGCTGCTGTCGATTACAGCCACCTGATTGAGACGGCAGCTCGTTGTGACCCCCCCCGTTTCCCCACTTCCCACTTCTAACGCAAGCTTCGCTTCACCGACTGACTCACCTTATCCGAGCACCCGGGCGTTGCCTTCACCGACAACTCCGCTCTCCGCTTAACGCACTCTTTCTGCTGCCCCCCCCACTTGAGGTGGCCCCGTCGTACCTCCATGTTGAAGGAACACTCCCCGCTAGTGTTGGAAGCACGAATCTGTTCGGATAGGGGAGGGTTTTGTCAAGTTTTAGGTCAACTTCGAGTTTTGGCGGTGTGTGCGTGATTGATACCATACCCGGAACTGCATGATTTAGACGAAAGTGAGTGTGTGCTTGACACGGTTGGGTTTTCGAGAAAAGTCGAGTTTCGATCAACGTGTAACGACCCCGGAGACGCAGGTCCGGGCAGGAGACCAACGCCCCCGGACAAGCAACGGGCGCATCAGGGGGGTTACTGCTCGCTCCATATGCCCTGTTGATGTATCGATAAATGAAGGCAGGCAGTCAGGCCACTTTGGTCATGGGGAGGAAGCTACAGGAATCAGTACCTCTGGCTGGTGCACATCTCGCCCACCCACCCCTGAAAGCGGAAGGTCTCTGGCTGTTGCTTCGATGGGAAACGCAAACACAGGGACAGGCACCTTACACACCCGGATCACTCGAATCTGTATGCATGCGCTCCACCACTGCATCGTGATACGATTAGAAAAATACAGGCCAACATACTGCAGGGAGTATCACGCCCTATTCTTCAACGTGCCAGGAACGTGTCGACTACGTTTAACAGGGCGGCGTAGGAAACAACCGCGTTGTTGAGTAGAGTTCTGAAAAGCTACGATATATACATCCGTTTGTGCAAAAACGGTGTCAGAACTCGTGCTGGGAGGAGAGCGTGGGGGGGTGGGTGGGGTGATATGTGGCGTCACGTGCTGCATTATGTACCTCGGTGCACGCCACGTGCAAGCAGTTGGTGCGGTCCAACTTCACCCGGCACTGGTCGTATGCGTGGATGAGCTCGTGAGCCATGGTGTGGTCCATCATCGTCTGGTTTACCCCCTTGTCACTGCACAGCACCACCTTTGCGGTGTCGTCGTTGTCGTCGTTGTCGTCGTTGTCGTGATGTTGGAGGTGAAGGTTGTCGATCGAGTGCAACCCAGGCCGGCAGGCAGACGTGACAGAGCATTGAAGGCAGCGAAGGAGTAACGAGACGAAATTCAGACACAGAACACGGAAGGCAAACGACGCAGAGAGACCGAGAAAAATGCAACATGAACGGATTTGTTCACACACAAGCGAGAAAGAGAGAAAGAGAGAGAGAGAGAGAGAGAGAGAGAGAGAGAGAGATGGAACATGTTACCCGTACGAAAACCCACAACTGCAAAACAAGTCTGCGGGCTTGGCTCGTTGAGTTGCGCGAGAGAAGGCAAGGGCATGTGGTTCGCACGGCCATTAACGGGATTACACAAAACACACAAATAAAATGGGGGGGCGTATTGTGCAGACACTGAACCCAAGCAGGGCAGGGCGGGACAAAGGCAGAGAGCGTGCCAGCCGCACCAAGAATCATGACAAGAAGACGTCAAGCCACCGCACCAACAAATGCTCGGCCCTAACGCGTCGTTCGTTCCCAAGAGCACGACCGACGACAAAGCAGGCGAACCGCACCCGACTCCGCACTCCGCTTCCCTCGTTAAGCACGGCCCAACCGACGTGAAACAAGCGGCATGGAAATCCGTGCCCGCCGTTTTGTCCATCGCACGTGTGTGTGTGTGTGTGTGTGTGTGTGTGTTTTTTCGTCCTTCTTTATTATGGCGACAGTCCCCCCATTTTTCGTGGTGAGGCATGTACTACACTTTTCAGTGCATGTCAAGTACTACACTTTTCAGCGAATTTTTCGTACAACTACAACCATCCAGGGTCACACGGGAGGGAGTAAACACCGGGGATTTTTTCGGCCGATAAATAAACGAGGCCGCACACAGGATGCTCACACCTCTGCGCGCGAGGGTTTTCCGTCGGCGCCCTTGGTGGGCGGGATGAAACCGCCGGAGATGTCCATCCCCTCGCACGGCCGACACGCGAACATCCCCGTCGGCATCTCGCACCCCAGCTTTTCCAGCTTTTCTCGCATGAACTTTACCTTGGGACCTGTCAATATTTCAAAAACGTGGTGCGAAGTTGTTCTTGTTTAGCCCTCTGAGCATTGTTGTTAACCGGCAAATGACCATGGGAGGACGTCTGTCTCCGAGGAAACTAAGCGCTGTCTAATACCGCCGTAGTCCGCGGGGTGTCCCGACAGGGATTGCGTGCGTTTAGACTTCTTGGACTCGTTGCGGACCGTGTGTAACCGGCTGACCTTATTTAGACGTTAACGTTGTTACGGGACAACACAAACGCAAACGTGCGTTCTGGTCCGTGGGCTCCCTTGACACAAGGGCCGCTTGGGAGATTGGACTTCAAGGCTCCACTGGCTGTGTGAGTTTGCGCTATTCGAGCACAGACACCGCGCGCCCGAAACACCCGAGAGCTGCGCCGCGACTTGCGATCTACGAGCTACTGTTGTGCTGGTCTATTCAGTGCTTGCACATCTCCCACTACTCAACATCTCCGTCGGTGCACCGGCAGAGCATTGCAAGACGACTGCCGGTGCAACGTTTGGACAGATAAACGTCCCGTCCGTGTGCCTTGTCAATCGTGTGTGATGGTGGTGCGACCTATGCAACATTCGTGCCTTGATTAAGAAACGACCAACTACTTAATCATTGTATGTTATTTTGTGTCGGACACGCTACTGTAGACACAGGAAACAACCTATGCTATGTACTCCAACTATTCTATGTCCTGCTGTCCTGCTGTCGGCACGCCTCCTACTTCGCCAGTCGATTTTGAAACCCTGTTGATGCGGTCGACGCAGCTTTTGGAACCTCCGAACCTCTCACTACCGTCTGCTATGAGAGATAAAACCTGGTACGAATCATCTCCCAACCAACATCCCAGCAATGCAAGGCTATCTACGTTCCTGTAAAACAGCCTTGCAGCACAGCCTAACGACTAACTACTAGAGGTAGACACACTGGATGGAGCTTCGAAGAACAAGCGGTGATTCGAAATATCTGTGGTCCCGTTGCTCACTCACATCTCTGTAAACTGTACTGCACCATCTCCTCACAACGGCTTAGCTGCTTTTCGGCTTCACCCGCATTATCGACTGCAGCATTTCCAGGGCCGCCATCTGGACTGCTTGATGTCGTCGACATGGCGCAGGCGACGAAAGAGCGCGTTGGCAACCTGGCAACCTGGGCAGCGATCTTGCTCGCGTTTAGTTCCGCCGCATTGCACTCCGGAGCCCCTTACCCCCCGCGCCCTTGCCCATTCTGTGTTGCCGCAAGGCCTTGTGCTGCTGGTTGGGCCTGCCTGCCTCTGCTGCTGCTGCTGCTGTGTGCAACTTCACTGGGCACGGGCGCAGGCGTGTGACTGCAGTGTATTGGCACACATATCGGTAAACTGTAGAGCAGCGCTTCCTCTGACCTATCCCTGCCAACCACCCAACCAATACCGCCGACACTTCTGCAAGCTGCGGCTGGAGAGGGGGCAATGAAGGCCGTGTTTGCGGGCAAAGCTCAACCAGGCGCGGTTGGAGCGGCGCGGCGCCTGCTGGCGAGCGGGCTCGCGATCGTGACGGTCAACTCACCAGGGACTCACCACGCCCTGAAGGAAGCCGGCATTGCTCACCAAGATGTGAGAAGGAAGCCGGCGTCTGTTTTTTTGCTCATTCCCCATGGAATATGTATGCATGCATGTTTGAAACCTGATTGAACTTTTGAAATAGGACGTGTGCGTGGCGGATCCAAACATGCATGTTGTCGCGGGGCTGGTGTGTGGTGACGCCTTGTCATGAACAACTGCAGGGCGAGGAAGTGGGTTGAATGCGTGTTGGCTCTCTTGTTGATCACGTTCCTGTTCAAAGCCTGCTGGAGTTCCTGTCGTTCCGTCTCCAATTGCTTGGTTGCTAATAACTACGCTCTCGGTCGTCAGAAGGGGCTGCTTGCCGCCGGAGCCGACAGCACTGCCGGCGTGGCCGTAGTGGTGGGAGGGCTGGAAAGCGCAGCGGATGTCGCCGGGGGCGACCCGAGCACTCATGCGTTCATAAGGTGACCGCAGGTTGTTTTGTGCGTGCTTCAATGGTTGCGCCGCTGCCACTCTATTCAGCCAGCGTTTGTATCGGATCATGCTCGCATGTTTCATCTATGTGGTCATCTATGTAGTGGATTATTGGTTGGTGCTGATTGGCTATTTGTGTGCATTTGCGGCTCCCGCCAGAAAGCCTGGCCTACAGCAGCACTGGCGGTTAAACACACAGGGTCATTATTTTGTTTGGAACGCATCGCTCGTCCACAAGGACAAGGAGCTAGCGAATGGCAGCGGGAGCATGGGTCTGCAAGTCAGTAGCGTTCGCGTGGCTGTCTTGTTGGAATTTATTGAATTTTCAAATTTCGCCAGCACCCACTGCAGGAAGCATGTGTGACGGCAGACCTAGCATACGATACCTGCTGCATACCTCGCAAAAGTGTTTGTAAGGATGTGGGGTCGGGCTCAATTCTGCATTGTGCTCTTGTAACAACTTGACATTGGAGTTACCGTCTTCCGTGTCTCTACACAGCAAGTAGCCGTAGCGACAGCAGTTGTCGTACAACCTCACCCCTCGACTTGCACACATCGGCGTAAAACGGGTCCTCTCTTTCTGTAGCAAAAAACGCGTCTCGACCAAACGCCGTGTGTCCCCCCTGCCTAGACCCTACCAAACAAGCAAGCAGGTACAGCAGTAGACAGATAAAAAACACCGAGAGCGAGCACACCCGTTTCCCCCCCGTCCATACATGTAGGGCGGCAGCAGTCCAGCACGCGCGCATCGCCGTCGTGGTCGACCCGGAGGACCTCTCCAAGGTCGCAGGTGAGTCCCCCAGCACCACGGACGGCCTCATGCTGTCCTCCCTCGGCCGCCGCTCTCTCGCCGCCAAGGCCCTGCGGGCCACGTCCGCGGCGGACAGCCGCATCGCCGAGTCGCTCCTGGCGGACGACACCGAAGCGATTCCGGGGAGCGGCGGCGGAAGCGGCGGCGCCGTCGTCCTCGTCATCGGCTCCGGCGGCCGCGAGCACGCCATCGCGCTCAAACTGGCCGACTCCCCGCGGGTGTCGCACGTCTACGTGTCCCCCGGCAACGGGGGCACGGGAAGCGGCCGCCATGCGGGCGTTTCCAACGCCGACATCCCCTCCTCGGCAAAGAGCGGCGACGGGCCCCACGCCGCTGTCGTGGAGTTCGCAAAGTCCAAGGGCGTGTCTCTGGTCGCCGTGGGGCCGGAGGTGCCCCTGGTGGACGGCGTCGCGGACGCGCTGGAGGCGGCCGGGGTGCCGTGCTTCGGCCCCAGCGCGGCGGCGGCCAGGCTGGAGGCCTCCAAGGCCTACTCGAAGGACTTCATGGCGCGCAACGACCTGCGGACGGCGCGGTACGCGTGCTTCACCGACTTCGAGGCGGCCCGCAGCTACGTGATGGAGGCCGGGCACAGGGTGGTGGTGAAGGCGTCGGGACTGGCGGCCGGGAAGGGGGTGCTGATGCCGGAGACGAAGGAGGAGGCCGTCGCGGCGCTGGAGGTGGTGATGGTGAAGAAGGAGTTCGGGGAGTCCGGCGCGGAGGTCGTGGTGGAGGAGTTCCTGGAAGGGGAGGAGGTGCGTGGGAGAGAGGAGAGAGGAGGCCGGCTTCCTCTCCTGGCTCGGAGAGAGGCAGTGTCTGGTGCTGTGCTGTTGTTGTTGTGGTGATGGTGGTGGTGTTGCGGGAGGGGTGTCGTTCGAATGTCCCTGACTACGTGCTCCTGGCCAATTGTTTTATGCGCCTGCTCGTCAGGGTTGCTCCTGCTTTCCTCTGTGGTGCACCCAGTTCCTTGTAACAAGTACCAAAAAGCGGCATCTTGTACGTGGGACTGGGTTCGGTTGATCCGGTTGGTCGGTACGTTGATACCCTTGCTGCTGCTGCTGCTACTACTGGTACCACAAACATGCATCGTGGCCTATTTCGACCTAACCTCGCAGGTGTCCATCCTGGCCATCTGCGACGGGAAGACGGCGGTGTGCATGCCGGGGGCGCAGGACCACAAGCGGGCCCTCGACGGCGACGGCGGCCTGAACACCGGGGGGATGGGCGCCTACGCGCCCGCGCCCTGCCTCACCCCGCGCCTGGCGCGAGAGTGCGCGGACATCTGCCAGTCGACGGTCACGGCCATGGCGGCGGAAGGAAGCCCCTTCGTCGGGGTCCTCTTCGCCGGCTTCATGCTCACCAAGCAGGGGCCGGTGGTGCTGGAGTTCAACGTCCGGATGGGCGACCCTGAGACGCAGGTCCGTTTTGCCTGAGGTGGGGATTGTGTAGGAGGGGGCGGGGTGGAGAGCTAGATGGCATGGGGAAAATTGCCGGCATGTGTATGTACGTAATGAGAGCAGGTTGGCCAACCTTCCGGTGAGTGGGGAGGGAAGAAGCTATTGTGGACGATCACCGGGTGTTGCGAACCGTGTTTTTGGTAGAGCAACAAAACACCCATAGGATCGGACCTTGGCGTACTCTGGTGCACACCAAGCAGTAGGAGCGTATGTCCATGAGTTTTTTTATGGGCACGTCTGTACAAAACCGCGCAACCCACAACCTCGATAAAACATCATCAAACCACCGGACACCCGTCGTCGCCTATTGTACTTACCCAACCAAGCACGCACATGCTGATGTAAAACCTCAACCGCACACAGGCGCTGCTCCCCCTGATGGAGAGCGATCTGTACGAGGTGATGCTGGCGTGCACTGAGGGCCGCCTGGCCGAGACGCCCGTCGCCTTCACGCCGGGGGCGGCGGCGGCCACCGTCGTCCTCGCGGCCGACGGCTACCCGGGCAAGTACCCCAAGGGCATGCCCATCTCGGGCCTCGAGGACGCCGCCGAGATCCCGGGGGTCACCGTCTACCACGCCGGCACCAAGGCGGCGGCACCGGCGGCGGCAACGGCGGCGGAGACGCAGCTGTCCGTGAGCGGCGGCGGCGGCGGCGGCGGCGGTGTCGTGTCTTCCGGCGGCCGGGTGCTTGCAGTTACCGGGACCGGCGCGAGTTTCGCGGAGGCGCTGGACGCGGCGTACCGCGGGGTCGGGTTGGTGAAATTCTCGCCCTGCCACTACCGGAAGGACATTGGGCACCGCGCGAAGACGGCGCCGCTGAGGGTCGGGGTGCTGGCCTCGGGCAGGGGCACGGCGCTGCAGGCGGTGATCGACTCGTGCGCCACGGCGGCGGAGGACGGCGGCGTGAACGCCGAGGTAGTGATCGTGGTGACCAACAAGAAGGAGGCCCCCGTGAGGGACCGGGCGAAGAAGCACAGCATCCCCGAGATCTTCGTCGCCTCCAAGGTGATGAGCGGTGTTTTTGTTTTGGCCGTCTCCTCTGGCCGGTGCGCGCCGGCCGCCTTGGGAGGTTTCGGTTGAGCAGTGACGAGGCTATGCCCCAACTCTACTCTACCGGGTCCACTCTCCCTCTTTGAGGTCACACCCGTTCACCGTTGTTTTGTTCGACCAACCTTGCTGATTTTCTTGTCGTGTGCTTCTTGTGTTGGAGAATGCCAGCGTACGAGCGCCGCAAGCTCCCAAGGAATCTTGTCGAGGCAAAGTCCGATTGACGATAGACGATAGAATACGACAACGAGTGAACGCTCGTAAACATCAAATATTGACAATTAAGTGCCCGATTGTCTCGAGTCGCGCCCGCTGTGGTTTTGAAGGTAGTCTCCAAATCTGAAAATCACTTCCCCGCCGCCGCGCGGAGAAAAGCTCACCTCTCTCGGTCGGGTTTTCGCACTCGTTTCTCATCCGACTACATCTACGCGCTAATTTACGCGTCCTTCGACAACTAACGGCGACATGGATAACTTCTTGACTTGAGTTGCTCTCCTCTCCGCCTTGGCGTGTGCATAATTTACGTACAACAATACTGGTACATCACGACGACAACGACGACGCATTGCGCAACAACAACCAACTGTTAGGGCCGAGAGCGCGCAGCGTTCGACAAGGAGGTGACCAAGGCCCTCGAGGACGCAGGCGTGCAGCTGGTGCTCTGCGTCGGGTACATGCGGATCCTGTCGCCGGAGTTCTGCCGCCAGTGGGCCGGGCGGTGCCTGAACGTTCACCCTTCCCTCCTCCCGGACTTCGCCGGGGGCATGGACTTGCAGGTCGTTGCCGCTGTTAATCCCTCCCTCAAACTACACGGCCGGTAAAATGCTAGTTGTAGATGTCAACAGCGAATTTTCAACGTCGCGCAGTGTACTATTAATACTGATGATACTTTGCCGTTCGTTGGCGTGTTTCGTGATCATGTTGTCGTCGTTGTTGCTGAAAGCGACCACCTTCGTTTTTTGTCACACCGGTGTGTGTGTGTGTGTGTGTGTTTCTCTCTGTGTGTGTGGCAGGTCCACGAAGCGGTCATCGCCGCGGGCAAGACTCGCTCCGGCTGCACGGTGCACCAGGTGACGGAGGAGGTAGATTCGGGGCCGATCGTGGTGCAGGAGGAGGTGGAGGTGGTCGAGGGGGAAACGCCCGAATCCCTCAAGGCTAAGGTGAGTCCTGGTGTGCTCGTCTGAAGAACGAGCTTCAAGGCCAGGGCAGGTTTTGGTTTTCTCTTGCGTCGTTACGGTAGATGGCCGTGGTTGCTAGCGAAGCGAACCTCGAAGAGCTAGAGGCCGGAAAACACGGCTTGTTTTCCAACCGGAGGGTAGTGGGATGTTTGTTGGTCTGTAAGCGCTGGGTGTAGCCATGGTTCGCGGGACTTCTTTTGCGCTGACTTTTTTTACTCTTCGCGAGAGTCACGCAGCGATATCTTCGTGAATCGGGAGGTGGAGGCAGTGTTCCAAGAGGGGAAATCCCAACCCCCAAGGCTACCAGGTCGGTCAGTTTCATGTTTCCTATTGGACCAGTTGAGTGCGCTCCCTGGCCTCCCCCTCTCCCTCTGTCGGTTCGCGATTGGTGGTCGGAAGTCTGGGTGTTCGCCGACCCCCCGCACCTACTGTACCTTTTCTTTCTGCTTTGGTTGTTTTATCCCCTCTTTGCTTGCCTGCTTAGCAGCGGCCTTCCTTCAAGAGCACCGCCACACGCATTTTCATCCCGCTCACGGACGGTGCTTCAACTGCAACGGTCGTAGTTTCAGCGAAATAACTAACAATATATATCACGCCACGCGAACGCCAGGTGCAAGCCAAGGAGGGTCCGGCCTTCCTCAAGGCCATGGGCTTGTTTATGAAGGGGGGCGGCCGCGGAGGTACCCTTCCCCCTCCCCCCGGCGCCGCCGCCGCCGCCGCCGCCCCGTCGAGCGGCATGAGCTACAAGGACGCCGGGGTCGACATCGATGCCGGCAACAGCCTGGTGGAGCGCATCAAGCCGGCGTGCAAGTCCACGAGGCGACCGGGTTGCGACAGCGACCTCGGGGGTTTCGGCGGTCTGTTCGACCTCGCCGCCGCGGGGTACGAGGGGAAGGACACTATCCTCGTCGGGGCGACCGATGGGGTCGGCACCAAGCTCAAGGTAGGCTACGTTATAGGAAGGGACGGATGGACGGAGGGAGGGACTGGCTGATTTTTGATTTGTTGTTTCTAGGAAGGCGTTGGAGGATACATAGGTCTCGCGAGTAGGTGTGGGCACTCAGGTCGTGACAGGTACACACCCCTTGTGCCGTGTACCCGAAGCGTATGATGCCTACCCTCCAATCGGTGCCTGCGCGTAGACTGCGGTGTACAGTGCAGTAGCCGACAGCGCTCTCTATCCCGAACGGTTCGCTCTCGTGCGACCCCCCCCTCACACGCGCGCGTTCCCAGGTCGCGCAGATAGCGGGAGACCACAGCGGGGTGGGCATCGACCTTGTGGCGATGTGCGTGAACGACCTGATCGTGGCGGGCGCGGAGCCGATGTTCTTCTTGGACTACTACGCCACCGGCAAGCTTTCGGTCTCCGAGGTATCTAGAAGTTTGTGTGTGATGTGCAATGTATGAGGATGACGCGTGATTTTCCATGTGTTTTTATGTTTGTTAGCACACGCCATGTTGGTGCATTTTTTCTTGTTGTTGTTGTTGTTGTATATTTGTTGGAGTTGCTTGTCTCCACTTCTCGTTTGTCCAAAGGCATCGGCATCCATGAGGTGACTCCCTCTGGTTGCGCTCTCCTTCTGTTTTATGGCCATATAGTACCGATTCGTCTCTACTCTTGTATGCACGGTCTGGTCCTATACTTTTGGTGGGGTGCAAGACCTGGAACTCAGCTTCAGCCGCGCAAACCGACAACAGAAAGTCGGCACGACCACGACCAGACAACCCCAGCAAACCAGCCAACAAGGGCTGCCACTCTTTTTACGCTGACCCTCGTGATTTTCTTCCCTGCTCCTTCGTCTTCTTTCCTTTCTCGTGCTGGGTTCTCTCCTCATCTTCCCAATAAATACTGAACCACCGCCAACACACACACACACGACAAGGCGGCCACGGTGATCGAGGGCATCGCCGAGGGCTGCCGCCAGGCCAACTGCGGCCTCATCGGCGGCGAGACGGCCGAGATGCCCTCCATGTACCCCGCCGGAGAGTACGACCTCGCCGGCTTCAGCGTCGGCGCCGTCTCCCGCGGCAAGGTCCTCCCCCTCCAGGTCTCCCCCGGAGACGTGGTACTCGGCCTCCCGTCCTCGGGCGTCCACAGCAACGGCTTCAGCCTGGTGCGCCGGATCGTAGAGGTGAAGGGGCTGTCCTACGGGGACCCGGCCCCGTTCAACGCCGCCGGGGGGGGGGCGGGGGCGGGGGGCAAGAGGAGGACGCTGGCGGAGGAGCTGCTGGTGCCCACGCGCATCTACGTAAGGGCGCTGCTGCCGCTCCTGCGCGCGGGGCTCGCCAAGGCGCTCGCGCACATCACCGGGGGAGGCTTGTCGGAGAATATCCCGAGGGTGCTGGGGGCCGACGTGGCCGTGAGGCTGCGGATGGGATCCGCCGCCGCCGCCGCCGCCGCCGCCGGTTCCTCCTCAGCGTGGGACCTGCCGGAGATTTTCCAGTGGCTGAGCGCCGCGGGCGGGCTGACGCAAGAGGAGCTGCTCCGCACGCTGAACTGCGGGGTGGGCATGGTGGTGGTGGTGGCGCCGGAGGCGGCAGAGGAGGCGCGACGCCTGCTGAGGGAGGCCGGCGAGGAGGTGGTGCTGGAAATGGGCGTCGTGGAGGAGAGGGCCGGGCCCGACGCCCCCCAGGTTGTCTACGAGGGCCGCCTGAAAGGGTTTTAATATCGGGAGAGAGGGGGAGTAGCATCTAGCCCTGGGGTGACAGAGGAGGGTTTTGGTTTGGGGGGGGTATGTTTAGTGATGAGTTTCATCATTGGTCTTCGTCTAGGCGCGGCTGGGGATAGGTAGGTAACGGGGTGCGTATCGGTATCCTCCTTCACTGCTCTTTTTCGTGCATGTGTCTGGCTTGATAGCTTGTTTTCTGCAGCCGCTTGGTCCGCGGTCTGGCAGACAGACCTGTTCCAACGGCTCGTGCCTTTGACGGCGGTGCTTCGGGGTGTACCGCCGGGCTTCTGTCCCCCTCCCTGTTCGCGTTGTAAGGCTACATAACTTCGTATAAAAACGACCATCGATCGATCATTGGTCGAGCTTCCTCATCCCCTCCTCCTCTGGGTCGCTCCCACTAATCAACCACACAAGGAAGGGCGTCTCGAACTCGAAAACACAACACTCCCCAAAAGCGAACACGGACGAAGGATCTGGAAAATCCAGCGGCTGGAACGTATTGGGGCCTGTTGGTGGCAGCGTGGAGGCATTCTTTGTAGTTGAAGCATAACAGGACTCGCTGTTACGGCGGTCGAAGTGTCCACACCTAATAATACTACGATCGTGACAACAGCACGGTGTTTGTCGTGCTGTCACTAACAACATCACCGCCGTATGCATACGTTGACGAGAACCTGCTGCTGCGCTGTGCCCCGCCGCTTGCCGTCACCAGCAACCCTTGACGCTGGTGCGCGATGCTCAGCGAGTCTCCCAGCCCCCCCTGCTCGCTGGTGTGAGCCATGCACAACCGGTGGTGATCGGCACACCGGATCGACGTAGGGGCTATGTTTGGGATGACCAACCTCAAGTGCAGCATGTCTTGCGCGCGACCACTGGCAACACCTGCCTTTTGTAGCTCGTTGTCGGTCACCAAGGGCGGCGTGTCGCTGGGGTGGCCTATCCTAGTGTAGTCCAACTGGTGGCACGATACCGTGGGCCTCAGAGAGCAGGTGAGGTGGCGCAGCCGATAGGAGGTGGTGACCTTTTTCGCGGCCGTCGCGCTACGGTTCTCTTGTTGTTGCCGGCGTTGTTGTTGCTGGGGCCTTTCGCACGGTGTGTCTGAAGGGGGCACCTCTCCCTCTCTATCTTTCCCCGAAGAGGAGCGAGGCAGCGAGATGAGGGCGCAAGCATTGCGCTTCCGAAAGGTCTGCAAACGCCGAAGGCGCCGACATTCTTCGCCAAGTACTCGACTCTGCTGCTGCTGCTGCTTCTGCTGCTGCTGTCCATTCCATCAAGGTAGAGTCGTATTCTAACGTCAGCGTTGTTGGACAGCGTAGCGTTCTTGGACAGCGTAAGGGAGAAGTGCACTAAACGCGAGGAGAAAGCGCGAGGGTAGGAAGAGCCACCCCCAAATAGTTCATGATTCTCGAGTTCCTGAGGTATCCATCAGAGCTTCTTCTTTTCTTCATGAATGTGGTTGTGATTTGCACCTTGATTGAGGACGAACACCCGCGAACACACCACCATGGCTTTGTATACTAGTCTACATAATATTATTTTCTTTGGCCCCAGCCCGACTTTTCGAGCTCCGCACACACACCTGTACCTTCCCGAGGTGCTGCTCTTCATCGTTAGCATGTGACGGAACCATTCCGTAGCTACTTCGTCGAGTTAGTGCATGGACCGTCCCGAGCCATGAATGAATAGCGAATCGGGTATGAACACACGATCAGTAATGTGGTAAAGATCCAAGATCCAAGATCCAAGATCCAGAATCCAGGAGATCCAAGATTCCAAGATCACAACAAGTACACCACATACTAAGTAAAAAAAAAAAAAAAGATTGACCAAGAAAGTTGAGGGTATATCTCGAATGGGTAGTCTTTCTGTGTGTGTTTTTATTATTCCTTAAAAGTTGAGAGAGTGTTGAAAAATCGTAAGAAAAAAAATGACCTCTGAAGTCCACCTGATATATTCGGTGCTGGTTGGGTATATTGGTTCTAGAGAAAGCAAAGTAAGCATACCACACCTACAGCAGGACAAACAAACGCGTCCGATCCAATCTTCGAAGGGGGGATGTTTGTCGCGGCCGCAGCTATCGAATTTTTTGTTCTCGTCGAAGAACGAGCCGTTACATCTGCAAGAGCGGCTCAGAAGAACGCCTCCTGAAGGTGTGAAGAGCCCCGGTTTGAAATTTTGAAATTTTGGAAGAGGGTGCGCCATCAAGCGTACAGCGCGCCACACTCGGCCCACAGGCAAACACCTCGAGCGGTGGACCGCGCCAGCATCGATCTCCTCGATCCTTCCGCACACGAAATGCCGTCGGCTCCTCCCCCTCTCGAGCATTCACCTCGCGGCCCTTGGAATCAGCTCCACCAGGCCGCCCAAGATGGCCTGGTGGAGCTCGCGCTGGCTCTTCTCTCCAGCGGGTGGATTGACATCGACCAAGGCACCCAGGGCGGCTGGACTCCTCTCATGTACGCCACCATCGAGGGCTGCTTGCTCGTTGTTAGGATTCTCCTGGACAATGGAGCCAAGACCAACCTAGTTGCGGACGGCGGCGTCGATGCCTTGTCCACGGCCGCCATGGGCGGACACCTGGGCGTGGTCAAGGCGCTACTCGCGGCTGGCGCCAACCTCGAAGGCGCCAACACCAGTTTAAGCACCACGGCGCTCCACGTGGCTGTAGCCCATGGGCACACGGAAGTGGTGAACGAGCTAATCGAGGCAGGCGCGAACCCCAATACCCGCCGCCCAAGGGACGGAGGGACGGCACTGGCCCTGGGCGTCGTCGGGAGGATACGTGGGCATTGTCAAGCTTCTCCTACGTGCGAAAGCGGACCCGTCATTGGCTAGAACGGATACGTCGGGAACAACCATCGTCCCGTTAGACGACACGGCGGGGGGTGGGCACTCAGACGTGGTACGCGAGGTACTACAGCAGGTTGGGATCAACGGTTGCTGTGGTTTACACTATGGCGGTAGGAATGCCCTCAGTCTGGCCGCGGACTACCAGTATCTTGGCATCATGGCCATACTTCTGGAAGTCGGAGTTGTCGATACGGGGGAAGTCCTGATCTCCGCCGCCAGGCATTACCAAGGAGCATCAGTGAAATTCTTGTTGGGGAGCAAGGGACGGTGAACACGATGGGTATTGTGGACTATGTCAACGCCCGCAACTCGTTGGGCATAACGCCCTAGTTCGGGAGCGGTATTATTTAGGCTGACTTGTTGTGCTCTCCCAGAATTGTGCGGCTATTCTTGAACGCCGGAGCGGATGCGACATCGGCCGTCCGGTTGACGCCACCGCCTGGGCGAATGACGAGTGATCCGACAGATCAGATCATCATGTTCGGCAATACCCTGGAGTTCACTACCAACGATCGACGCCGTAAGGGGCACACCCGTCACGGACGAGCAGCTGCACAGGGTAGAGGCAGTCCGCCGCTTGTTGCTGTAAGTGGAGGCAGTTCATGCGGTGTCCTGGCTTTGGGCCAGCGATGACCTCTCCACCACCCATGGTGCAGAGGTTGCGAGTAGTTCCGAGGAAACTCCGACGACTGGAACGCCGCTGGGGATGATGCTGCCAATCCTACGGCGGAGGGCTCAGAGACACGGTGTTGTCTTGGCGGCTTTGACAAGGTGGGTGGAGACGTCGCGATCTCGGGTCTCTTGACGACAGATATTCTACGGTGCTGTCGCTGATCCACCCTGCGCCTGCATGTCGAGGCGTTGGTGTTGCGACCATAACCTCACGATGTGCAGGGCTTGATAAGCTGAATATTTTGCGGCGTAACTCTTCAGGAAGGCACATGAACGGTGACGTCTTGTTTTCACGCCTCTGTTGTGGTCGCTTGACGAGTTCCTTTCGTTGGTATCCAAGATACGTACGTATATGTGTGGGATCAGCAAACAAGCTGCAACAGTAGTACTCTCGTTTTGGTTCGCCCAAGGACACCATTGTATATGTGCGCCAGCCCACGCTCTGCCTGGCCTCTGTTGATTCGATCGTCTTGTTCGCACCCGCGTGCCCTTGCAGGAGGTACCCAACGAAGTTGAGACAGGGATGTAGCCTACATGATGAGAGCGGCGATTCCGTTGCCGTTTTGTGCGGAATGTGGGGCACACGGTCTGCAGTGAGAGAGCAACTCGGTTGTAGTAGCGTTTAGCCTAGGTTATATAGCGGAAGGTGGTTCTTAAGTGAGCCGACCTTTGTCCGCAGTTTTTTCTCGCTCTTTCGACTACGGTACGAGCTTGTTATGGGGCACGTCGTTCTATCTCGCCAAATCACGGCTTGAGACTACTGCAAATCTTTCTGTACGGGAGGTGTTTGGGGAGGGCTTTTCATGGGTGATACGTTGGTTGCGCGTGCTGGCCCAATCAAAATGAATGGTGGCTCTCCGCCTGTCTCGGCTCGAAAAGAGAGCGGCATTAGGAAACCTGCCTACAACCCCGCATGATTTTTTCCCAGTGAACAATCAGACGTTCTACTCGAGAGTACTTGTACAATAGCGCACGCAAGGATGGGGGTATGGTGACTGGATGCTACCAGTATGTGGTTTGATATCGGTGTCTAATCGTGTGGCATGCCACCCTCTATTTTCTATGTATGGTGTTTGTTATGGTCGTAGAGGTGGGGTAAAATAGCGATATACGCCTGAGTTTCAACCGAGCGCGGCTGAGAAAATTTTACAAGCTTGTACTCCATCCCTCCTATCTATTCTGCGCGCCAAATCCATCGGTGTCAACTCGACGCATCAGACGAGGGACACACCTTCGATTCCAAGGCCAAACCGCCAAATCACAAGCCCGTATCACACGGTGTGAGTGTGACATCGCTCCAGCACTTGCATCGACGCCCTCGGTCGACCCTACGGGCTACAAGCCACCGCGTGCCACAAACCCTTCTCTCTACTATCGCTGCCTTCTCCGCTCCCCCCCCTGCAGCGCCCCCTCCCACTCCTCCTGGGGCGGACCCGCGGCGGTGGCGCCAGCGGGCCCCTTGCCCTTTCGTCGGTCGACATCGAAAACCAGCCGCAGGTATCCTAGTAGCTCCACCCTGCCTTGCCTGGACTTGGCGCTGGTGGGGATGACCGGGGTGGTCTTGGGGAAGCCGTTCTTGTCGAGGGTTTGTCGCACCTTTTCCGTCACCCCCTTGAGCTGCGTGTAGCAACCAACACCCAAAGGGGGAAGGGAAAGGTGTACATGTATGTGTGTGCGTAGGGCAGGGCGCATGTGGTTGTGGTTTGGCGGAAGCGGTGGGAGAGGTGGGTAGAGATGTGTGTAGGACGGCCATCGATGGCGGAGGATGGCAGCACACATGGCATCTGTTGATGTGCTTCGAAAATCACTCACATTCTCGCTGCATGGGTATTGAACTTACTTCATTTTTCGCCCCATCTTCTGCGAACTCCTGGGAATACAACCTTCGGTATGATGATATTGAGCGTATGCGCCGGGGTCACCGATGCACTATGGATTTTGCTGTGCAGCAGCGATGCTACTGCAGTAAAAAACAACGCAAGGATATCGCAATAGGAACTCAACAACAACATCAACATCGACGCCAAGTGGGGCGGCAGTCCCTCTCCTCCTGTCTCTGCCTCCCACTTTCCTCTCTCACCTTCTTGTCGTTCACCTTGTCGCACTTGGTAACCACCACGACGTAGCTGCTCCTCCCCTCGTTCTCGTTCATCATGAGCGAGATCAGCTGCTCGTCCGCCTTCTGCAGGCCCGTCCTGCAATGTACAAAGCGGCAGGCAGGGCACAGGGAAAGGGGGCCACATAGGCATCAGGTTAAGGACAAGGCCATGAAGAGGCTTGGCGATGAGAGGCTCTGTCGGTCTGCCGGTGGTAGGGGAGAGACGCCGCGGTTGTTTTTTCACTCCTTTCCACGGGTAAGGTCTTTTTGCTCGACACGATACCTCTTCGAATCCCTCCCTTGAGCAGCACCTTGCGGGCACAACCCTCACCTGCCGTCAATGAGGTGAAACACCACGCGGAGGTTCTCCCTGACACCAAGGTAGCGCTGCAGCGTGCTCTTCCACGAGTCCATGCGGCCGTCGTCGGCCCTGGCGTAACCCAGACCAGGGACGTCGACGAGGAAGAAGGATGGCGATTTCCTCCTCCCCTTGTTCACGGCGTAATAGTTGAAGTGCTGCAAATGGTTGGTGGAGAAAATCGTCCAATGGGGGCGGGGGGGGATGAGATGCACGCAGGCTTAAAACAAACTTTGCGTGACAAGAGAACTTCTTCCGGTCTTCTGTCGCAAACGAAAAAAAAACGAAATACAAAACAGCTTCGATGCCCGCAAGGGTACACCAGCGTCACGAACGGCACCAGACGTGGGCAACCACCCTACGGGAAACCTCGATTCTATCGCTGCCTCCCTTAACCTCCTCTCTCTTCTGCACGTCCACGGTTAGCAACCCTTGCCTCGAAAAACACACACACACGATTATCCGGCGAGACCCTTCAAAGTCTTCACACACAATATTATGTTCAGTAAAATACCCGCAGTTCTTTACCTACCTGAGTGAAACCAGGCACGGCCGAGGTTGGCGCCAGGGTCTTGCGGTTTACGAGCATATTCACCAGGGAAGACTTGCCCACGTTGGAACGGCCCACGAACACCACCTCGGGCAGTGCTGCTTTTCCTGCAACGACAGCAAATGAAGAGAAAAAAATGCGTGACGGGGGGAGGGGGCAACAAAACCGAAACAAAGATGTCAGAAAAGAGACAGACAAGAAAGAACGTGCCACGTGCAACGAAATACAGCAAGTAGCATTTCGATAAGCAAGTATTCATCGCTTGGGCCTTCAACTCGACCGCAAGTCAAGACACGGCAACGCGCCAAGCCCGCACCACAAAATACAAAAGGACATGACCCCCCCCTTCCCCCCCCCTCCCCTGCCCGGACCCTCGAAACCAGACGGTGCGCACCATGCTGGTTTCAAAGGAAATCGACGGAGGCTGTTGAGAACACACGGCCACGCGCATGATTCATGAGAGACACCAACCCCTCCGCCTCCCCGTCCACCGCGCCACACCTCGTGCACACGCCGACCGCGTCAACCCGCTTACCGCTGGGCAACGTCTTCATGGAGACCGCCCGGGTCTCGAACTCGACCTCCTTGATGGCGGCGTTGGTGGCGAACTCGAGCGTCTCGTGGTTGTTCTCCACGCCGAGCCTGGCCATGCCGTCCAGCACCTCGAACACGTCCGATAGCCTGTCCGCCTTGCCCAGCCGCCGGATGAGCTGGTTGTACGCCCACACGGTAAGGGCGCCCGAGGGTGGCGGAGCCGATAGAGAAGAAGGCGCGGCGGCGGCGGCGGCGGCAGAAGAGGGGGCGAAGTCCCCCTGCCGAAGAGCCCTGTCGAGGGTCTTTCTCAGCTGAGTCGTAGTAGGGTTTAGGAGGCATTCCGGAGGGGGGGGGGGGGGTCGTGGGAGTGTGTAAGGGAGCAGCGTGGCGGGGGGGGGGGGGGTAGGTGGCTGTTCTGTGGACCGGCGGGATATCGGGCGACGCATCCGCGACAAAAATGAACCAACAAAGGTGGAGTCTTCGAACGCAAGGATTCCGGCTCGTGCGTCAATGTCAGCGGTGGCAGGCGGCCCCAGTGCAACTCAGTCTAAATTCCACCCAGCCCGATCCAGTGACATCAATGGTATCCAACACAACGAAGCCGTCCGTGTCTATCTAGACATCTGGCAATCGAAATCAACATGAACATCGTAGGCAGAGACCTTCGCCCCGCCCCATGCCCTGCCTCCATGTAGAGAGAACCCCCAAGCTACTGTCTTCTACATGCCGTATGCTACACAGCATGGCATCCAAAAACTCACCCCGGCCGCCGCTTCCTGGCTGCTCTCCTTGTGACCCCGCTCCAAGTAGAAGTCCAGCAGCTCTGGAAGCACCTCCCCCTCGGCCTCCAAAATTTTCTCCAGCTCCTCCTCTGCCTCGAGCGCCTCCCAGTCCTCCCCCTCTTCCTCCTCCTCCTCCTCCTCCTCCTCCTCTTGTTCCACCTGTAGCTCTTCGTTTTCCTCTGGAGTAGAGGATGAGTAGGGCTTGACGGCGGATTCGAGCATCTCCAAGGCGGACGTCTCGTCCCCGGCCCTGAGGCAGGCCACCGCTAGCCCCGCCGTCGTCATGCGGTCGTGGCTTTCGAGCTCGCCGTCCTCTAGATACCTGCGCGAGTAGACGGACAAAGATTGATAGAAGAAAAAAAACAACGATGGCCGTCTTCTTCCTTTGAGCTTTTCGTTTTCGTACTCGGCCTCGTCGTGTGCAGCATGGCGCAGGGGATGAAAGGGCCTGTAGCTCCAAAAAACAACGGGTATTAGTGTATTCGAGGTATGAAGTGAGGCATCAAAAACAGCACCGAGAAGAAAGAAATCAGCGGCAAGGAACACACAAAAATAAACGAGTGCAGCACGCGCGTAGCGCCTGCGTGAACAAGCTGCGGCGGTGTCAGAGCAGTGAAAGGTTCCTGCCCGCCAACCAAGCGGTCGCATGGATTGCCAGTCGAAACCCGCAAAAGCGTTTCATTTCTCTCGTCTTAAGCTCTCACGTTTCCCTCATCTCGTTGACACGGAGGCTGAGGTCCAAGCGCCCCATCCTCGCGAGGGTCTTGAGCGCGAACGAGAAATACCTGTCGTCGCGGACTCCGTCACGCTCCGCCGCAGAGACGACCATAGCAATCACCTACGGGGCCCACCACCAGTTGGGCGAAGACAGAAAGACAACGAGCGGCATGAGCAGGAGGAGGACGAGGGGGTCTGCACCGACACGCCAGTCGCAGCGCACAGAGTGGCAGAGACAAAAGAACATTTTGCTCAACACTCGGTGGGGTAGCACGTCCATGGAGAGGGAGAGCAACGGAAGAACCGAGAGCGGACGGAGCACCAAATAACCACTGTTTACCACCATCAAGAGAGTGTTGTAGTGCTCCGCTTCATCCAACCTGCGTCTCCAACAACCTCTGTACCTATGGCACCAGAGGGGTAGAAGGCACACGCCTTCTTGACTTTCGACGAAGAAAGCCGGCATAGAGAGAAGCAACACCCTCCAGAAGAAATCGTCACTCTTCTACTGCGATCTCTGGTCCTTCTCGGTGACCGCCTACTGCATCCTGTCTTCAGGCGTGTACCTTCTCCGCGCTCTTCCCTTCCTTCTCCTCCTTGCGGATGGCCCTCGTCCGCTCCCGCCGACTGGCGTTCTGCCCGTCGTTGAACCACCCGCCGAGCCGTGCCCCGGAACTGTCCTCGTCCATCATCATCATCTCCTCCTCCTCCTCTTCGCTATCATCCTGGTATCGCCCATCTTTTTCGTGCATTGCTGTTGCCGCCTCCTCCTCGGTGCCCGTCGAAGGGCGGGAGGAGGAGGAGGGTGCCACCACGTTGAGCCCCAGCCCCGCCGCCAGTTGTGCCGCCAAGTCTGTCATTGCCATTGTTGTCGTTGTTTGTTCGTGGTGGCGGTGGTGGTCAAGTATGCCGATCACAGAGTGCATGGCGGCGGCAGTATGCACGCAACCGCATGGTTGTGAAACTATTGCCGGCAAAAAAGGCGGCGGTGATAAACGGCGCAAGAAGAGCGGGTTTGTGCTTCCTGTCTCGGTCGTCCCTGTGTTTTGCATCTCTTTCTCGGGCTGGACCTCTCCATTCGCCCCGTTCTCCCGTGTTCCCCTCGGTCATCTTGATCCCTCTGCTCACACTCTACCGCTCTATCTGCTTGTCCGCCTGTGTACCTGTCCCTTTTCCCTGATTCTCTATCGAATACTCTCAAAAGAAGTGCATCAACGAGGTGTGAAGATTGGCGCGAGAACTAAAAGGGACGAAAACACACACATAAATCTCTCAAACAAAACCACTACATATAATTTCCTCTCCCCGACTCCCCCCACCTCCCTCTACTTTTCTCACCGTCGCCTTCAACTGCCTTGCCCCGTCGCCTACCCGCAGCTTGTCCGCTACTTGGGAGAGGGCCAGCGGGTGTTGTTGGTGCTGCTGAGGACGAGGAGTCTCTCCAGTCCGATTGCTTGTCGAAATACATGTCCAGATCCGACAGATCGTCCGACTGCGCGGCGGGTTCAGCCTAGCCTCATTCGGGGGAGGACGGGGAGCATCAACCGTCCAACAAGGTTTTGGAGTATAAGGGCAAAGAAAGAAACATTGCTGGTTGTCTGACAGCTGGTGTGAAACAATCACTTTCTACACCAATCGATGCAAATAGGGCATGGATAAAACAAACATGACACGGGCTTGTGCGATAGCGAGGTAGAAGTAGCTCGAAACAACGGACGAAAAGCCGTCTGCCGCACCCATCCCTTAGACGAATCAATCAAAAATTGTGAGAGCTTGGGTGCCTTGCATTCTGCTTCGTCTCTGTTTCGCCTACGTTTGATCACTAATAAGCCAAATCGGCAAACCGACCAACACATACATAACCCTGGCCGATATCGGATCTTCACACCTTGTTCCTGTTTTTTCGGCCTGTTCTGCGGCTGCCTGCAGCCTCCATATCCTCCTCCTGCTCCATCACGTCTTGGCTCAGGGCGTTTCTAGCAATCTCCTCCAACTACATGTAGATGGTTTACCGTGCGTGTACATACGCGCGATACAGACACAACGGAATGTAGCAGGGTCAGGGTAGGGGGTAATGGAAGAGAGAGAACATCGTGAGAGGGCGGGGAGAGATATAGAGATCAGACAGACATGTAGACAGAAGACACATAAAGCAGACAAGGACAGACACAGAGAGACAGACAAAAATACCATGCTATCCTGCCCTCTGCAGATGGCATTTTTGCAGTTCTCGTGCAGTTGGCGTGGACGCTTGCACACGTTGGAGTTATCGCAAAGGTGCAAGCGCCCACCAGTACAACAGCCAACGACAGCAGCCGCTCTGGTTGCATTGTCATTGTCGTTGTTGTTATCGTTCCGGTCGCCGCTCACTGTCCCTCGAAATATCAATTATCAAAATACCCGTACTCGTTCAACTGACGCGGACGCCTTCCATGGTCACCGCCAACTACCCAAAGGCACATGTATCGTTTAAATAACCACTTGCATGTCTGGACAAGTGCACGTCAACGGTTCCATGATTGGTATGTACAGGTGAACCGTTCAGCGCATCGCATCTGCGACCCGGCACTGCTGGTGCGTAGCACGTCGAAGGGATGACAAGACACCAGCAAACGAGAGAGCTGGCGCAGCCAGCATCTTTGGGAGCACCACCACACAACATATATCCACAGCATCATAGGCACACACGACCAACCGACCTCTCTACATCTTGTCACGTTGGCGCGCAACATCAGTAGCACAGCACGCACCTCGCCACTTTGCATCATGGCCTTCCACTTTGCTAGCTTCTCAAGGCGCATTGCCTCCACTGCCGCCGCATCTTCCTCGCTCCCTAGCTCTCCCGCTTCCTCCTCCTCCTCCCTCAGTTGTTGTTGCTGCTGCTTCTGCCCTCCCGCTTTCCGTCCCTTCCTCACTGCGTACAGCGCTCCCGCCGCCACCGGCGCGCGGCTCCGCTTTTGCTGCTGCTGCCGTTGCTGCTCGATACGCAAGGGTGCCGCTCGTTGAACTACACCGCATGTTTCCCGAGCGCTGCTGCTACCCCACGGCGGTTGTTGGGGGCGATCGCACGTTCTCTCGAGGGGGCCACCACGACTGAATGGCGCGGGGAGGAACGCGGCAACATCTGCGGCTATGAAGACCGCCCAGGCGAGCTTGCTCATGGTGCTCAAGCCCTCTCTCAGTGGTGTACACGAGCAGGTGGACGTGTCACAGCGTCACACTGCCTCTCCACAGCTGAGCTCCGCCTGCGGTCCGCCGAAAGGAGGCCATACAGAACTAGTTGGCGTGTTTTTGCCAACAATTGCCCCGCATTGTGGGTGACCGTACAGCGCTTTAGGCAGTAGGCGACCACACCCAGGATCGTTTTTTCACTGAGCTCCATTACTCCACGACGGAGAGGATGTACAAATCAAAGGACCTGTTTCCGGAAAGCTCTCGATGAGGTGGTTCCGGCGCCGCCATTTTCGGCACCGCCGTTGTTCTTTGAAAATCAGTCCAAAAACAGGGTGTGATGTCTCACGTCATAACTGTACTGCTGCTGCTGCTGCTGCTGCTGTAAAGGTGTGATCTGCCGGCGGGTTCAAAGCCGGTCCTCCGGCCCCGGTCTCTTTTTTAACCTGAACGCTACAGCCGTTATTTTAGTGTCCCATTGTTTGGATAGCCTTCGCCCAATAAGCACATGGATGGGCAGTCGGTGTGTAGTTCATTTGCAAGATTGAAACTGAGCGTTCACGTCGCCGGTACAATAGTCTACTAGGGAATGGAGAGGAGTAGTAGCAACCTCATTTCTTCCCTTAGATGAGAGCCCACCAGTTTCATTCCTGAGTTCATATCCTTTCGGCACGTAGTCACAGAGTCTTTAGCGACGAACCATGACTTCGCATGTGGGAGCAGCAAAAAGTATTCAGGTAGGAAGTCATTGACACTTTTTCGATACCTGTTTTACAGCAACATCGACTCGTTTTGCTCACTGGTTCTACCGCATTGATGGGACGAAAAACACACACCGTTATGTACCATGGTAGCACACTTCCTCCTTTCAAGGGAACCCGCAGGGGGACACAGCGCCACTTAGACGAGCAAACAATCATGAACATTGAATCTCCCGAGTCAAGTCTAGGCAGCATCCCGAGTCATGTTCGGTCGTTGGTACTGGGGTGAGACTCGAAACACCACCAAGTAGGCCGTTTTCGTACACGCACAACGCACGCTCGCCGACAACAACACAAAAACACAGACTTGTGAGGTATGAACCAATGCTGATGCCCTCCTCCGAACCATAGGGCAACGACTGCCGAACAAACATCACGAAACGGAGATAAAAGCAAACGCAACGTACCCTTAGCAATCCAATCCAACCCAATTTCTTCTTCAGCGGCTCGCGCGAAACCCCCCTTCCCTCTACTACATACAACTACACTACCTGCCGCTATCTTGAAGAAGTAGATCTTCGAAGAGAGGCCTAAAAGGACGAAAATTCCATCGAACAGCTGTGGAGTAGATGAGGCGGGATTGTGACGAGAGGACCTGGCCAAACACAGGGCGGGATTACTACACCCAATCCGTGAATGTGAATGTGACCCCATTGCCCCTCCTGTCGTCAAGACCCTTGACACCAAAACACACGGTAGTGATCGTGACGGCATTTGCAGCCCCATTTCGCTTTGTTCCGGCGTATGATGAGTGTGTGTGTGCAGAGACGCTTACAAGCTCTTCATGCTGGACAACACAAAGATACCCGACTAAAACAGTACTCAAGTCCACACCACGACGTCTGCACAGCGAGTGATCTCTTGAGGGATCCCGTTCGTCCGTGAACCGAGACGAAGGGGGTCAATACAAGGGGGGGGGGGGGAGGGGATACACACACTACGGCACCCCCATATCGTCACGCACAACAAAAATCGTGGCTGTTGAGGGGGATGCGATCGAAACCCAGGCAGCTACTCCTTGGAGAATCGAAAGCCGAAAAAACTCTCGTAAGGCTCTCGGATTTGTGTAACAACACCCCCTTTTTATATAAATATCTCGTAACATGTTTCCCTTCATAAAGAACCGTTTGTCTTCCAGGGCGCTGTCCAAAACCGTCGCATGAACGTTGAGCAATTTAGACGGGCATCATCCACCCGAACTTGTCCTCAAGCTCGCCCGCCTGCACTCCCCGGACCCTGTCATACAAGGCCTGGCAAACCGGCCCTGTCTCGTCCGACCCGCCGTTGATGCTGATGATCTGGCCCGCCGAACAGCAGGTGCGGGGAGAGGGGGAGGCAGGAGGCGATTCTGCATGTAATATATGACAGACAGAGCACTGCTAGAACGTGACAACCTGTACACCATTAAAACATCGCGTTCGATGCATACGCCCCACCCCTCCCCACAACACAACGCGCCTCTTTCTTCCCCCACCCACCCGCCGCCGCAGCTTTACCTCGCCACCCTTGACGATCTGCTTGATGGTGGTCATCACCACGGCTGTCCCGCAGGCCGCCACCTCCTTGAAGGAGGACACCTCGTCAAACGGCACCGGCCTGTGCTCGACGACCATGCCTTCGTCCTCGGCTAGTTGCATGAGGGACTTGTTGGTGATGGACGGCAGCACGGCAGGACTGTCGGGAGTCACAAACTTGTTGTCCTCCGTCACCGCGAAGAAGTTGGAGGTAGAGAATTCCTAACAGGGAAAAAAAATCGAGAAAGAGGAGGAGGGTTGGAAGGGGAGGGAGTTCGAGACGCCGGCTACGAATAGGTGGATGGCGGGGTACCATATCTAGCTAGTGCAACGTTACAACTTACCAGCAACGTGTGTGCGTCTTCCCGTTTAATATGGACGCGTAGTCTCCACCTTTGGATATGTTCTTGCGACGCCCCAGTCGGAAGACCACATGGGATTGTTTTTTTCTCCACCTTCCTTTGCGTGTCGCCTAACTATATCGCGAGATTGATGCACAGCTGTTCCTTTCCCGCGTTTACCATGGAGTCAGTTTTTCTGCACGCATGAAGCTGTCGCATTTCACAAGGAAGCCAAAACGAAAAAAAAAAAAACACTCAAAAAGTCAAACACCCATCACGATCGAGCCTTTCGCACGTTTGAACACAACACCCCCGCGCTTCGCATGAATTCGATCTCTGGATAAGCCACTACACACGAAAGACGAAAAATTCCAAATCAAGGAAAACGCACCTCGACGAGCGTGTTCGTCTTGGCATCCAGGTACAGTCCGATAGGGTAGCCGGCCTGCTTGGCCAGCATGTTCGGCATCATGTCCGCCGCGTAGTTGCCGGCCACCTTGACGGCGCCGACACCCTTGGGGGCCGCCCGGTCGTAGTCCTCGATCACCACCGCTGTCGTCGGCTTGAAGCCGCCCTACCGAAATAAAGAAGACCACAACCATGATCGCGTTGGGAGAATCAAGTACATCATGAGTCGCCCGTGGAAACATTGATACATCGTCTCCTAAAAACCGAAAATTGCTAAATTACTTGAGATTGTATGGATTAATTAAATTTGCCAGAGCAGTGGCAAGTGTGAGAGGATTCGTAGAAGAACTGTTCCTCCGTACACGATTTCGCTCATACAGAAGCCGGGCTGCACTGACTGACACCTGGCACCAAGGCTATTCGTTGTTTTTTTGCTGTTGAGAAAGGAGTTTTTCACCACAAGTAGTATCACAGAGTGGGCCGCGTGTGTGCTTGGGGACAGACTTCTATCCGTGAGCCTACCCGCCTTGAGTTCGATTCCCCCAACTTCGGCGATTTTTGAAAATGGCCAAAGAGCGTCGACTGCAAGGCGCTTGCGCCCGAAATAGTTGATCTTGCCTCCATATGTACTCCCCACACCTAAAACCAATTAAATAAATAACACACCCCATATACTTGTATGTCTCCCCCCCACAAAATCTAACAACACTTCAAAGAGAACACAAGACACCCACGCGCATTATTTTCCGCTCTCCTGCGTATAGGAGCCACATAGAAAAACGGGGGTCTTGTAGGACGACCGCGTGGAAGTTGCTGTGTCGAGTGACGGGGGTGAAAACAAGAACACGAGCAAACATACCTTGTAGTAGTTCCCCACGGGGATCGCCATGACGAGTAGAGTGTACTCGTCCGACGGCTGGAGACCGATCCGCGCGCCTGTCCCGAAGAGGAGAGGTCGCAGGTACAGCGCCCCCTCAGACCCATACGGGGGAACGTACTCCATGTTCGCCTAACATGGTTGTCGCGGCGAGGAGGACGACATTTCAAGGAGGGCGGGGGAATGACACCACGAAGCACAACAAACCTAGACCGACGCTCTACCGGGCCGCGCTTGTGCCAACCACACCACGGCCAATTCCCTCTCTTCCAGCGGTTACCGGGACGACAGCGCTGCAAAAACGACGGCGGTACGCACGGGGCGCTTTCACACACTATGGACCTACCGTCAAAGCAATAAACCCTTCAAAAAGTTACAATGACCGACCCGAAGCGCTTGGGCGAAAAAACGACTCACCTTGACGGCCATCTTGCAAGCCTTGATGAACAAATCGGCCGGTGGCGGCTCCATCAGGATACGCTCCGCGCTCGCCCGGATGCGCTTCGCGTTCTCGTCCGGCCGGAACAGCTTCACGCTGATTATGCGATCAATCGGTGGTTCATGGTGATTTGTTGGTGATCGACAACCGGCCGAGAGGGCGGGTGACTGACGAGAGGCGGATGCACAATGACAAGCGGAAAGTGTTGAGCGTACTTTTACGCGAGCATTTCTTACCCCGACGACATAACGGTCTCGCTGGGGCATACAAAACAAGAGGACCGATACACACGATGAAAAACACACTAGGGGAGGGTTTCCGGTTGTATAGGAGAACATGCATGCTCAGTCTCGACTTCGACAGGAGTCATCTTCACCGTGGTGCTGTATCCCGCTGTAATTAGTAAAACAAGTCAGGTCGGCTCGGCAGCAAAAAAAAGTTGCAACAACACTACACTTGACACTATCGGTGCGGCGACAGCGTCGGTTGTAGGCAGACCTCCTCGCAAATGCCAGGTTCCTTGCACGCAGTTTTTACTTCGTGGGTCAAATACGACAAAGACCACCGACGAACGGGCCCGCTGCAGACACAGAGAGGCAACGCACACACACTATAATCGTGACACCGTTGCATTTGCGATCCAGCCGTGGTCGGCCTCGTTGGCACCCCGCTCGAGAAGGTGTTGAATATGCGGACAAGAACGTAGCTGTGGGTGAGTCGACACTTCAAGCCTGGTCTGGAAAAGCACGCGGAGAGGAGTTAACCACGGGTAACGTGTTGTTTGCTCCGAGTTTTGGATGCGCCCCGACGGGGACACGGGTTTCTCGTGGATCAGAATGACAACCTTGCCAGGTAGCATAAATTATGCAGTTGCAGAAAAAATAAAAGTCAACACCAACAACGCCACCAACGCAACAAATAAAAAGCACCTTCCGTCCTTGCCGTGGAAAGCCTTGAGCCCCTCGAACACCGACTGCCCGTAATGCAACGCGGTGTTGGCGATGTGGACTTTGACGTAAGGGTCCTTCACCATCTCCCCCTCATCCCAGGCACCGTTCTTGAACGTGAACTTGACGTGGCTGTTGACTGCGTGATAAGTGTGTACAACATGGAGGGGTGATAAGCGAGTTGTGCAGAAACACCTGGCCAAATCCGTTATCGCAATCCCAAAGCCTTCACCCTCGAAACAGCCACCACGTCACTACATATCGCAAGCAAGCACACCATCTCGTCCCAGTCCGCTATAACACCGGCTAGCGGCCATGTGTGAAGAGACATGGCCCGGCATGCAGCTGCTCACCATCTCTATACTCGAAGCCAAGATTCTCCCAGTCCATGTCCGCTGTTCCCGGCACGTTTGTCTTGGGCATCTCCGGAGCAGCCACCATTCGGAGAGCTTTCCCTCGTGCTTCGCGGTTACCTGCCCCTGCTCGTGCATGCCGACGATCATGATGTGATGACGACGACGAGAGAGACGATGACGATGCACCACCACGTGCTCGTGCTCCCGCCCATGGCACCCGAGCAGAAACGCTGGCCGCCGTTGGTCCAGACACGAAACCTGTAGCACGCGCAAATGACAGGACCACACACGCCAGACGGGTGGACGGCGTCGGCTTCATCCTTCCCGAGTTGGTGTCGTGCTGCCGCTGACGTTGTGTCTTACTCCCGCGCCAAAGCCCAAACAAAAGGGGGTACGCGGTTGTGATTACCGAGGTACAACAATGGTTCTGAAGTTGGTTCTTGTACCGGTCGGCCAGCTATGTAGTTACGGAGTTTTCTGCTGGTGTTGCGCCGCAGTGGCATGCGGCCAGCCTGGTAAGGCCGATGTTGCTGCGGAAGCCGGCAGCGTTCGGCTCGTATTACTGGAGCTTGTTTCGTTCAATGGAAGTAATACAGTGTGTGTCGTTCATGGTCTCCGACGCACAAGAGTAGAAGCGCTACATACACTGTATGTAGTTCATCACGTACTTCGAAGCACAAAAATCAACCAAAATTTATACCAGGTATGATTTACATGATCACATTATCATATGTATGTATGTAAAATCGGCGACAGACGCGAGTTTGAAACTGCACAAGATCGACACATACCACAGGACAGTATCCTCCTGCGCACAGCGTGGGCAAGCATGATGCCCCCCTGTGCAGAGACCGCAGCGTATCACGAGTCCCCTCGCGGATCACGTCACCAACAACGGGCTGCAATAGAGTACTGGAAGTTGGGTGGCCGAGGACGAAGGAAGGTCCGTCGTGTTTGAGGCGTTGTGTGCGCTATGGCTTCGGATATTTTTCTCTCGTTGGTTTGAGTAGATGGATTCGTTGTGTTCTACTCAAAGAAAAGTTCCTTCGAGGCTGAGAAAAAAAAAGAAAAGCTCCGGTGCGGCGCAATCTCGCCTCGATGGGTTTATGGATTGTTGTGCAGACGAGAAATTTGATTCAGACACGGAAAAGATCCCTGTCTTTATGGCTAGCTGTGGTTTCTGCGCGCAAGACGACCTGACCACTAGAGTGGTGTGTGCTTTCGCTCGCGAGAACGGAAATTCGATGGGCAGAAATTCGAAGACGATGTGATGTCACCTTCACTCCTCTCGCCCTAGTCTTGTATACATACATACCACACGACGTTTGACTGCCTTGGTCAGAACGTGGAGATGAACGCGTTGCTACCCACCTGTTACTCTTTCCGGGGCCACTTCTGCTTGAGTACCACGATAAGCTACCAAGGCTTGTACGAATTGCGTGTTCACTGCTAGATTCTTCGGGCTGCCCATCTTATTTAGTGACGAAGCGCCCTAGCTTCTTGTGCAGTGTTGTCGCAGCAGGGCTCGGATAGCTCGCTCGACGCTTCCAGCTGTTCGGACTATTACTTACCTCGCTGCTCCGGGTGCTATGGCAATACGGCGTGGTGTGGCCGCTATCCGACGATGATAGTGTGCAAGAGAGCCTCCCAAAATGACTGTTAAGTTCACTTGTATTTTGTAGCCCAAGTGAAAAAATGGTTTGAGAAGTGGTGTTTGCGGCGAAGAGAGAAAAAACGAGAAAAGAAGACGAGTAAGAAAGTGGGGGCGAGCACCACGGGGGGGGCGAGCTGTCCATCTATCTTCTTCATCTCGACGAGAAAGCACACACGGGCTGTTGTACTCTACCGATCACGGTAGCGTACTTCGGTCCCGACCTTAATAAGCCAAATTACTGTATTATAGGAGGGCGAAGTTCCTACAAGACAGTAGACCGATGCACTATATACTTTCCTATGGTTCTACTGATACCTGAACAATTTGTCCGACTATTTGGACAATCAACCGAAGAGTCTATATGGAACCAATCTAGATAGGTAGGTGCACTTTTGTACTGACCGCACAGCAAATTGTTTTGTCGATTATTGTATCAAAGATCTCAGAGCTATTTGGTGGCGGTTAAAGTTTCCGTCTCTCGCCCATCCTTTCATGTAGACGAGCAAAAACTTCACCTTGTTGTCCGTCGCGACCAAGACGTTGTTGGAATCGCGTAGGCGCTTTTATGGTGTTCCATCAGTTTTTTTTTCGTTCACACCCGGCCCCTTCAGGATCAGAACGACCTCTTGTTCAACATGGGTTGCAGACGGAAACTTCAACTTCTGCTTTGCATTGTTCTTCACCCTTTTGGGTCTAAAGGTGCGTCCTGACAGATCATTTATTGATCATTTGCAAATGCTGGTGTTGTGGCATGCCATGGAGTTGCCGCCCTGTATCCCTCCACGCCAGGTGTTGGCAAGTCTATAGGTAGGTGTGTCTTTATTATTCGCATCGACCGCCGCGCTAGCCGGTGACCAAGATGAAAAGACGTTAGTGCAGCGGGTAATATCAAGGTCCCTGGAACGGCCAAAATTCGAAGAATTCAAACTGTTATGGTATTTGGAGGTAGACATGTGATCGTGGTTGATCATGGTTATTTGGCGCCGTCGGATGCTAAGACGTGACGTCATGCTAGATCAGGGCTTTATGCCGAGGCATGTGCCCTTCTGTTCAGTGTGTGCGTATGGACGATCCCTGATCGTGTGTGCGTGGGATATTGTGAGTTGGGTTGGAAAGCGTTAATCAAGAGTATTTTCTGTGTGTGATCAACGTCCTTCGATGCAAAGAAGGCGCTATGCACTCAGTGCGTTTGTCCTTTTGTTGACATTGCAGGCACCTCGCGCACCCAAGACCTTCACGACGTGCATACGGCACACTTCGTTGAACCCATGTTCGGATACAAAATATTGGCACATATTTTCCATCTAACCCTAGACTTGTCAGTACACAGCCTGTTGTCACTCAGATCTTCGTCATGGAAGTCTTTTTCGATGAAAGAAGCGAATTAAACAAGTTCATTGTGATGTCGCGCACAGTTCCGAGCAGTGCCGACGACACCAGTGTACTGAGACGTCCTCTTCTGTTGGTGGGAGGTAGCCTGAAAGGTTCACAGCTTGGTATGGAAACCTTGCGTTGTTGTATCTGGCAATGACCACTGTATGGAACAGTGTGCAGATAGGCTTACGTAGTGACTGTAAAACGCTTGTTTGTAGACCAGAGAAGATGGTTTGAATTGGCGCTTAGTTGGCCGATAGGAAAGCAAAGACAAGGAGGAGTCCTGAGACTCGCAAGAGTCTCGGAAGGACCTTGAAGAGACCAAGAGCCTTGACAGATGTAGGGAAGAAAGAAAAGAGAATGCACAGGTGGGGGCGAGCGCCACAGGGGCGAGACCCCAACCTCATCCTGGAAAGAAAGCACACACGAGCTATTGCAACGTACCGATGACGGTCACAGACGGGAAATCCGACCTGTAGCAAACATTATATAAGAAATTTCCAATAGGACAATGTTCCGATGTACCATACTCCTATGACTTGATGTGTAACCTACCATGAATCAATCAATCACTGAATCAATATACGGAAGACTGTACCGGCGTACTCCGTTCGCGACTACCGAGTGTGCTGTTGTTTACAGCGATACAAATGCTAATGACTACATTAAGTATTCCAACACTATCTCCTTTCCGGGTCTGTGTGGACCTAGTCCGACACCACTGATGCAAGATGTTGCTCCTTTCCTTTGCTACGTTTTTTTTCATCTTGCATGAACACCACGCAACACAGAATCAATCAAGGTACATACGGCAACTCCCGCGTCTCCATCATGACGTCACACCTTCTGACAACGCCAAATAACCATGGTAACGTCCCGTCACAAACGCTACCTTCAAGTACTGTTCCACCACACTGCACTGTCGAGGGGCATTTGCCACACGAAATGACATCAACGAATAAAAAATGACACCTAGACACCGGCTTCCTCAAAATACTATGAAACCACATTTACTAATACACCACTGAACACGTCGAGCGCAAGCGCATTGCCACAAAAATAGTGACATCAAAGAACGAAAATCTCGTTTGTTAAAAACACAGCTCACAAGCAAGCTTCCAGCAACATCAACCGGGCGAGTTGATTACGCACACACACCCGGCCACCTCCAAATACTATACCACCACAAATGCCAGAGCACCACTGCTCACTGTCGAAGGACATCGGCATACAAGTTTCATCAACGATTAAAAAACACCATTTGACACACATACCCTCACAAGCAAAATGATTCCAGCACATCCAAGGGGAGCATTGTCCAAACTCGCCAACGTACAAATACGTGTATATAAGAATGATCAAATGGCGTTGATTTTTGCCCAGCTGGACGGGGTCAACGGTTGAACAAATGTTCAACTCTTTCCTTCTTCTTTCTCTCGACTTGATTTATTCTTCGTGTTCCTGTTCTCGAAAGTCGCCACCTAACAACTCTCCACAGACATGTGATGAGCTACAGGATGACAGAGCGTGTCTATCCCTTTCAAGCGACCCTCCTCCTTCCTTGCTGTTCTTGTATCGCGGGGTGCGAAATGCAGTGCCAACACGCGTACTCGGAACTTTCTCAAGAGAAGATGCTACCGTGGTAGAGATGGTCTTCATGCGATTCGCACGGACCAGGGGTGTTCCACCCTGCCGTACTGGATGTCGGTCAGGGCCCCCCAGAAGCGTTTCGCGAGCGGGCCGATGCTGGTGCCGCTGGGCACCTGTAAGCGAGAGAGAAAACGTCCCAAAAGATCGATAAATATCTTACGTGCGCTAGGCATCAGGAAAGGAGCAACGGACAAAAAAGCAATAACAAGCATCATGATAATAATAACAACCACGACAACAACAATAACAACCACAACAACAGCAACAACAACAACAGCAGCAGCAGCAGCAGCAGCAGTGAGACACATGTAGTTGGTGGCGAAGAGATACCTGCAAGTAGGACTTTTCTTTGGTACTACATGCACCCACCTGTGCGCAACCTTCTAAGCGTGCGAACACGATTATTCTACCAACTTTTGTACGTGCACAAATAGTACATTGCTGCATCTGATCCAGACTCAATCAAGGGGGCGTGGTCGCTGCCGCGGTTTAACTGGGAAGAGGTACTGTGTAGCCCAAGACGCACCTCGATTTCCATGCCCCGGTACTTGATGGCTTCGACCGGGGAGATGACAGCTGCCGTACCCGTGCCAAACACCTCCAGAAGCTGCGAGGGAAAAGGCATGGTAAGGGCCACCGAGACGCCGAGGAGGGTGGAAAGGGAACATGAGATCCATGAGCAAGAAGGTGTCTAGGGGGACTGGCAAGGTGACAGAGTTAACACATTTTGCATGTAGGCTGAACAAGACCTTTTCCCTCCTAGCTCGAACCCCACAGCGAATATCTCGTGAGGGTCGCTCTCGATATTACATCATCCCTTGCCGCCTCCCCCTCTTCATTTCTACTCTGCTGTTGTTTTCTTACCCGGCCCTCCCGGGATGCCTTGACGACCTCTCCCATGGCGAGAGGCCTCTCGCTGACCTCAAGAGGGACGCCGCCTTCCAGCTCTCGCCACTCCCTTGCCAGTTCCAGCACCGACCTTCTCGTGATACCTGTGTACGTACCGTGTGTGCGTGGGTTGTTGTTGGTGGGGAAGATGATTTGGAGGGTGAAGGGAGCGTTTTTCAGGACCGAGAAACGACAAAGAAAGGGTGACGGCGGTGCAAAGGAAACCATAGGAAGAGAGTCAGGAGACGGAATCCTCGATCAGGGTTCTAAAAGTCCGGCACTAGTCTGAGAGGGCCTCGGCAACAAAGACTTAAAAAAAAAGGACCACTGCGGCCACCAACAACGCCCCCCGCCAACGAAACTACCGTTAACAACCTTGTCCACAACAACAACGACGACGACAACAACAACAGCACTAGGCTAACCTTCGAGGATGTCCCCGGCGTCAAGAGGGGGCGTCACGAGCTCCACCCCTTCGCCGTCCTCCTTCTTGATGAGGAAGAATATGTTCATCGCGCTGACCTCTTGCACGTAGTCCTCCTCGCCGAACAGCCAGAGGATCTTCACGCGCACGACAAGCGGGCGATAAATAGAGAAATATTGCAAAGGAACCGAAAAACGAATGAGAATAGCAGAGAAAGGAGCAAAGCGACCGAAGACATGGAAGCGAAAATGGCAGCGAGCGGGTGACTCAAGCATGAAGATGTAGATGGGCTTCAACATCAACGATACAGGGACAAGGGAGCCGGTAGCGGGAGAGGAGATTCCTCCCAAGCCTTAAGAGAGGAAGACCAAACAACCCCGGGAACGTTACTTGAATGTAGGAAGTTTCGCGGGACTTATCCTACTAGCCCCCACCCCTCCTACCCCGACGCCATCGTCAGTCAACAAACAAGATCTCCGCGAAAATGGTGTGTTGGTCTCAAATAAAACCAAGCCCGGTTCGGCAAGAAGCCCCATCCCTGCCTCCTACCCCCCGCTGGGATTGCAAACTCCTACTTTCAAGGCCCCTCCCCGCGGGCGCGCTTGCTTAGGACATGCACCCAGCACTGACTTGAGCATTTTCGATTTTATCACCTGTGCGCAGCCGTGCTCCTTCTTGGCCTTCAGGCCCGGCTTTACGGTGGGGGCGTAGTTGCCGCCGGCCTTGGCGAAACCCATGCCGCCGGGCCACGCCCGCCTCTGCTCGGTGTCAGCGTAGAGCTTGACCGGCTTGAACCCCTCCTGAAAGAACGAAACGAAACCAACAAATGTGCTCGGTTAGTGAATCGTTCCTAAGGTACCAATCGTGCACGTGTTGTTCAGGACAAACGACGTGAACTCCTCCTTTTTCATCGACGAGAATGAAGACGTCAGCTCTTTACATGCTGCTTCTTCGCAACACAGCTTATTTCCGGTTCGCGTTTGAGAAACCACATAGTACCCGGTCCAGGCTGTAACAGCCACTGGCGTTTCATTGGCTGACGAAACAGACTGTAATACCTTGTAGTAGGGGCCAACGGGAGACAGGACGACGTAGATCTTGACTTTCTCCGGTGCAGCGAGTCCCAGGTACGGCTGGAGAATAAGCAGGGGGAATAACGAAATGACACAACCGACCAAGAAGCAGAGGTTAGTTCGTTGGCACTGCCGAGTATCCACGGCATACAAGCAAGCAGACAGGTGGGCTGCCTTTCGAGCGTGTCGAGGAGGTATGTGATATATTGCAGTCTACGTGGATGCAGCACTTTTGAGAGTTTCATCTGACTACCCTCATCCCTCCTTCGCGGTGCGTACGAAAACGGAGCGCTACATACATAAATTCGGCTGAAATGGCAAGCATATAAATAGATGAAATTAGAGTCAAAAAAACAACAAATATATCGCTCTCACGTGGGTGCTGATGGCTGTCGGGCGAATGTAGAGCGAGTAACCATCGCCCTCTGGGATCCAGTCCGCGTCCTCAACGACGAGCTTGCTGAAATCGATTCAACGGATCGTTCATCGTACAGGATGAGAAAGGAAGCGTAGAGAATGGTTGGGCGGGTGAGAGAGGCGCGATGTATCATTTTTGATGTCGTGCATATATCCCGTTCGTCCAAATTTTGAGGCGAAAATCGTCTATACAAAGGGCAGCCGAGCAATGTAGCTATTGTACGCTCGTGTTCTTTCTGTCCTAATACAGCTGCCAACAAGCTTCATCAAAAACTGCCTGGAGTTGATTGATACCCACATCTCGAGTATCACCGGCCAGCACAACCCTTGTTTCTGCCAGCACGCACAGGACTCCCGATCCCCTCCCCTAACTAGTGACAAGACTCTCACCTGATGAGCTCGATCATGCTCGCCTCATCCACCTGAGGGAAGCACAAACGGTCCATGGACCTGTTGAGGCGGATCATGTTGAGGTCGGGCCGGAAAAGCCTCACGCCGCCGTCCGCATCACGGTAGGCCTTCATGCCCTCGTAGCACTGTTATCGTGAACACGGTTTGGTCCCCCGTGTGCAAATGTGGAAGGACGAGAAGAGGGAATTGGGGGGGAATAGGAGGCGAAAAGGCGGGGAAGGCGGGCCGATGTAAGGCGGGACATACATACATACATGTGGATGGAGCATATCCCGGGAGAACTTGACTACTACGACGACGTCGCACATATGTTTAGCATCTACCGCACGCTTGTTGCAGCGCCAGCCTCCGAAGGTAAACAATGCAACGTCCCGGTCGGTATTAGGACTCTACGTAGCCCGCTTGTCGCGAACTCCCCGTCCCGGGCGATGCTAAACAGCACGATCATGTCGCACGTTTATCTCTTCTTCCGGGTAGTTGGCGAGAGATCCGCTTTGTTCGCTGGTCGTGTTGGACGCACGATGCGTTGTGTGTAGTGCTAGTGTTAATGCCGAGGCAGCTAGCAACTGCAGTGGAATGGAACGGAGGGCTTTGTCACCGGAAATGCCGCGGCGGGCGTAGGTCTTCGGTACGTTGGATGCACATCACGCTAAAGGCGACGTCCACTACCACCTGAAACAAGTACACGAAAAGACGAAGCTAGTCTGCATTTTTTTACGTACAAGTGACACGGCCATTGGTTCGTGCTTCTTCTTGGATCGATCTATTCCAGCACCAGCTGCGGTAGTTCTACACATCGCATGGTTACCTGCAAGCCGTAGTGCAGGGACGAGGCGGCCGGGCTGATGCGCAGGTCCCCGTACGGCAGGATCCTGGGGGCTTGCCAGCCCCCTTCGCTGTCCCAGTCGAGGTGCAGCATGTGGTCTGAGAACGTCTGCCCGAAGACCAGCTTCGACTTGTCCTGCTTCTCGCGAGGAGTCGTAGTGCGCTCAACAGACAGCATCGACGTCTGAAATAATCGGCGGAAACACCCGAGCGAGCGCGGGATCCGGCGAACGCAGAGAGACGGGGGCGGCAAAAGGGGGCGGTGGCGAATAGGAATCAGCGCAGGGAATTGCGATGTGCCAGTGCCCAATACGCGGCATTCCGAGCCTATTATTGTATATCAGTCTAATAAGTGCAAAGTCTTCCGCCGAGGCAGGACGTGATCACTTTTTTTGCTTGTTCGAAAGCGAAGCACCCACAACTCCACGTACTACTGCCGGTGCTGATTGGGAAAGAACGGGGTGTGCAAGATTGTCTATAAAATACGTGGCGCGATATTCCCACATCGCATGTATTACTGTAGCAAAAATGTCCGTTATCACACTCACTCTCTATCGAGCGAACCAACAATGCTGACCAGACCAGGAGCCCAGCCCCAATAAAAATCCAATGCCGGTTCATTCTTTTCTTTCGGTACTGCTCTTCTTGTTCAGCTCTGCTGGTTTTATTCTCCTCTGACAGCAGACTCACCTGGAGGACGGGAAGGGCAGGGCAGACCGGACGGATACTGCACGTCACGTCCGCGGTTCCAGTTTCCACTCCGCCCCCATCCGCTACGGTTTGGCTGTTGAACGGTCCCATGATTCTGCAGTACTTTAGGTCTTTGAAGAACTCGAAGAACTTGAATGAAGAGAGAGTGTATTTGTCCTCTCTTGATTCAGTTGTTTGGGTGGTGGGTGTGGTGAAGGTGGATGTTGTGTATGTCGAGAGGTGCGTGTGGTTGTGAAGTGAGGAGGGGGAGGAGGGCACGATCACGCGCGCTCGGCTCAATCGACGAACTCGATCGAGTTTGCTTCTCCCCGTGTGTCAAGGAGGTTTTTCTTTTATTTTCTCCAGGTGAAAATAGAATTCGATTGGCTCCAAAGGCGCGGGTGAATGATTTGCGGGCCATTGCCTCTCCGGGAAATTGGCTGATGGGATGGACTCACGGAACTCTCGCGTCTTCTCTTGACAACCAGATCTATCTGCACTTTTGGCTCAATCGACATCCTCGGTCGAATTATTTCTTCCGCATGTATATGTCAAGGAAGTTCTTTGCGCATTTTCCTACAGGTGATCTTGGAACGTGATTGGTGCGGGTAGTGATATACGGGTCATTGTCTCTCCGGGAAATCGGCTGTTTTAAATTTATATGGGCTCACGGAACCCTTCGCCTCCGCCCCACATCGGCACAGATCCACCCTCTCTCCCTCTCTCCTACCTCCCTATTCGCAAGCACACAACAAGCCAGACGAAGAAACACGCGTGCACCACGCTAGGACGTCATGGGATACCCATCGTGTAGGTAAGCCATCACGAGAGGACCATGTGTAGCTGCATCTCGGCTGTGTGTCGTCGATACAGAGGCGATTATCATCATGGAAAATGGTCTCCATCGCCGTTGTCATACATCCAGTAGTTCTGCCGTTGGTGTGTCGCATTCCCCGAGGTGGAATAGCGCGTCGTGGAGCCGTCATCGTAGCCCTGTTTTGTAACCGGATAGTTCAAATGACTCCACCCACAGCAGTCACTGTCGTTGTAGTCTAAGCTCCACACATGTTGCGTGGTTGCACGTCGCATGTTGCACGCGACCTCTGTGTCCTCGGGCACCATGCGCGTGAAACTTTCTTCTGTTGTTGTGCAAAATCTCTCCGCCAAATTATTTTACTCTCCGAACCGAAATATATATGTGCATCATACTCCGAGTTACGAGAGTGAGTGGTGTGGGTGTGTGGACTCACACGCACCATGCCATCCACGAGACGAACTGAGCGGTGTACACACACTGTATCTTGAAAGACATGCTGCGCGCAACTGTTCCGTGGTACAGCGGTGTACACGCACATGGTCAGTACCTGCTGTAGCGTAGAACAGGAAAACCTACACAGAGTTTTTTTTTGTTTTGGTTCTCCGGCGGGCTGGTGGGGCGGTGTTACGACTTTGCACTACGATACACGGCTACACGGCGGTGTGTGTGAGTTTATTCAAAAATCGACGTGTGTACGACGTACTTGCGTTGGTGAACCAGACCGTACGACCTTTCTTGTTGCATGATGATATTCCTTCTCGAGTTCCTTCTCGAGAACATCAGGTGTATGTATGTTATCTGCTGACCCCGGCGGACGCTCTCTCGCAGGAATATCACACCGAACAGAAATAAAATTCCTTTTCAACTTTCAACACGTCGAGAACAACCAGCAAACTGCGGGCACCGCGAGTTACTACGTAGTTACACATACATGCTGCCCATTGCCACAGAGTACGAGTATATTTCGGCGCCGGTATCTAAATTTGTCAGGATATTTCGAGCTTCGGGGAGAAAGCTCTGCAATACAAATAAATGGATTACGTGCAGAGTTCAGGCCTAGGATCACTGCCTGCCGTGCGAGGACGCATGCATAAATAATGTTATAAACTCAATTTTTTCTGAGGTGTCTTCGGTGTCTTCCAATATCTTCCCACAAACAACCTCTCTCTGTCATCTACCTTCGAACCTCTTCTTGCTTCACTTTCATAATACAGACGACTTCTTCTCCTCCATCAAATCTTCCTCTCTTCGTTGATTTTGCTCTCTAACAAAGAAAGAAGCAATCAGCAAAGAAAGTAAGATTTGCTGGGGCATACTCCAGCGAATAGTAGTTTGTTATGTTGTTGACGGTTAGTATAATAATGATAGATAGTAAGTGGTGACGGATGAACAGATGATGTATGTATGTATGTATGTTTACAACGCTTCGAGCTACGTTAGACTATATTAATATGGGTCTTCACATCATAATGTACAGGTTTCAACGAAAAGGACGATAGGTCACGTTGTTGGGGGAGCACAGCTCCCCAGCGCTGATAGATGACCGAGTATTTCACTCAATAAATATCCACGAGTGAGTGACTTATGTCAGGATAACCCCGTCGCCATCACCAAAACAGACGATATTTAACAACACGGACGGTAGTTGCCTGCATTTATTTGCGATAGGAACAAATCTTACGACTCTCTCTCCCGGTAGAATACGGAAATAAATATAGGAAGGCAAGCCGTCCGTAGACAACAACAACAACAACAACTATACTTCCCCCGTACAATACGGAAATAAAGGAAAACAAGCCGCCGATAGAAAACAACAACAACCAAACACCACCCACAGGCTTGGTTCGGCGGCGGGGCAAGCAAGCATCATCGTCGTTGCCGAGGCGGACGACCCCACCCTCGTTGAGCTGGAACGCCTCCCGAAGGACGCTTCCGAGGTCTTGTTCAGGGGTTCGACGATCGAGGAGTTCTCTACGCCCGAAGGAAAGCGGGCCCTCGCCGAGGCTAACGTACTCCTCAATTGTATCGGTGAGTTAGGAACACGAGGGGGGTTTGACCAGTGTCTACATAGCAGCGTCTCCGTAGTGGATTTGAATCTGTCCGCGAAAAAAAGTGGGCCAAACGTTGAAGCGGGATGAATTGGGTACGGATGAAGGAGCAAGGAGAAGTCGGAGGGGCTGGGTTAGGGCAGGAGATAAGTTTTTCTTCCGGCGACCTGAGAGTTTGATCGAGGGCTTGCTTGAAAAGGCGCAGAGGGTAGCTCTGGTGGGCATGGTGCTTTGCATAACCCTAAGAGTGTGATGTGACGCAAGAAGAGCGCCTACGCTCTTCTCTCACATAGACAGCCAAGCGAAGCCGTACTTGTTTACTACATCCCCTTTTGTTGTCGGTCCCGGTCCTCTCCCACTGCTACACTCTAGCCACCCTCTACTCACTTTCGACGCACCGCTTCCGGACTACAGGCACGAAGGATCTGCTGAGCCAGCTGTTCCCCTTGGCGCCCAAGCTGGCCTGGGTCCACAGCCGGTTGGTCGGAGTGGACGCCGCCCTTTTCCCGGCGCTAATCGAGGCCGACGACGTCTCGTTGACCAACGCAAGGTGAGCGGTACGGCGAGTGAAGCCGCAGGTTCCCTCTGCTTTCGTGTTATCTCTGTCCCTGTGCCTCTGTCTCCTCTTTCTCTCCCCCTCTCTTTGTGCAACCCTCTCTCCCGACCGTACTGTATCTACGCAAACACCCGTGGAGGCGACAACATAGATGGTCAAAACAACAAAGAGGAACTCAGGTTTTCCAAGAGAACAGTAACGAGCCGTAACTGAGAGCTAAGTCCACTGAACGGTGGCGCCAATTTTATCTCAGTCGTCGGTGGTGTGATCGGTCCAGTCGTTTGCATTCGGCAGCAGCGTGTCGGGTTAATAGTTCATTTATTCGGAGACACAGCAGTGATATGGTTTTTATTATGACATCAAACACATAGTCTATATATTGTTCTCTGGTACAACCGCGCCGCGACAAAGTGCCCCTTCCCCGCACGTAGGTGTGATTTTGTGTTTAGTGCTGGTACGTCCGTCTTTTTACAACACGAATGACCGCGCGCGCTTCCTTCCACTGGTGTTGCCACCTTTTCCTTGTCTACTTATCGTTAATGTCGGATTGTGGGTGCGACGGAAAACAACGACACCAAAAACAACAACGACAACGACGACGACAGAGGACTCTTCGCCTCTGCTCTCGCGGAGCACGTGGTGCTGTCTTGCCTGTACTTCGCAAAGGACGTCGACCGCTGGAAGCGGAACCAGAAGTGCCGCAAGTGGGAGCGCTATCACGTCGCTGAGGTACTAACCCGAAAAACAAGCGCGCGCGCTGGGCTGGGGGGGTATTCACTTTCAGGGGACAGATATTGGGGGGGGGGGCATACCCATTATCAGACCACCGATGATGCCTACAGGGTCTGCATCGAAATAGTCTGGTTGGCTTCACCAGGCTGGCCAAAAAAGGAGGGGGATTACTGTAAGCACCTCGTGGTTGGCTTGCCACTTGAGTCGCCGAACCTAGGTCATGATGTCTGTGTAGTATTCCGAGCACCTTTACTTTCTCGGAGAGCATACGGCGGTCGCACCTAGGGCGTGCGGGCGGGCGTGTTTGCAGGAGGGCGGTGCTCCGGATCGTGTGTGTTTTACCCCATTGCTGAAATGTTTGATGTACATCGGTTTTCGTCCAAGAATTGATTTACGTCGGCGCTTCATCGTGTACTTGCCCTCCTCTGTCTCTCCGTCTCTCTGTGTCTGTCTGTCTGTCTGTCTGTCTGTCTGTCTCTCTCTCTCTCTCTCTCTCTCTCTCTCTCTCTCTCTCTCTCTCTGTGTCTGTCTGTCTGTGTGTGTCTCTCTCTCTCTCTCTCTCTCTCTCTCTCTCTCTCTCTCTCTCTCTCCCTCTAACTCTCTCTCGTTGTATGTCTATATTTTGTCAAACGGAACAACTGTCGATGCATTGCAGGTGTCCAGGACTACGCTTGGGATCATTGGGTATGGAGACATTGGGCGAGCAGCGGCCGTGAAAGCCAAGGCCATGGGCATGAAGATCATCGCCCAGAGGAGGAGGCCCGAACTCTCGATCGGGGACGGCATAGTCGATCAAGTGTTTGGGGCCGGTCAGGTAAACAATGTCGGTCGATGGGAATCACGATAATAGACGCCTAGGGGGGGGGGGAGGGGCGTACTCTTTTGTTTTGCATGCCTTAGCGGTTAGACCATTGACCACGCGTGAACACGGTCTTCGCATTCGAAGCCGCAATCACACTTGAACTTGTCGTCTTCGTCGTCTACCGTCCTATGTCTTCGTCGACGTTCTCGAAGGCATATGTCCCCGGTCCTGAATTTGACCTTAAGCTAGGGGGGGGTGTACTCATAGTCGTGCATGCCGTAGTCGTTAGACCATTGACCTCGCATCCCTACAAAGCCGGGACGGAGCACGCCGGGTTCTCACCGGACCAGGCTAGGGGGGGGGCTTCAATAAGAAACAATGCTGTGAATTGTCTCCTGTACAAACCCGATCCGTTCCCACCTCCGGCAGTTTTTTTGTCGGCCAACCGATGGAATCTGGGGCGGGCAACACTGCGTTGCTGACTACCCTCCCCCCCCTCCCCCCTTTCTCTCTCTCTCTCCTCGTTGTACCAGGTTGGCGATGTGATCGCACAATCTGACTACATCCTGGTTGCGGCTGCGTTAACGCCCGCTACCGTGGGGATGGTGGGCGCGGAGGAGCTTTCGAGGGTAAGTGTGTGCGTCCCTGCCTGCCATACTGGTACTTTCTTTCTTCGATAAACCAAAGTGTCGTTGACCCCGTAGAGAAAACCATCGGGGAGATGTCTTGTGGTATTTGTACCTAGTGATTTTGTGATTAGCACCTGCTGGCATCACTGATAAAACATTTTCAGTGTACAGGCTTAAATAGACTCAAAATAAGCCCAGTACCCAGCCGGTTTCCCTCTTATTCACTGTAGTAAAGACTTCAACACACCCCGTTCGACTGTGGTCTTATCTCGAATGGGTAGTCTTTCTGTGTTTGTTTGTATTGATTGATGTTTCCTAAAACCAAAGAGTAACGACGACCAGAACCGCCACAGTATTATGAGAAGTGTTGTGTGACACCCAGCATCACACCTGACAATTTCTTCACGCACATCCACTAATTCTGCCAACCTCTTTCCCCTCCTGCTGCACTTCCTCGCATGCCTTGTTCAACAAACAAATGACGCAGGCAAAGCCTCACGCTGTGATCATCAGCATAGGCCGGGGGCCTCTTATCGACGAGGGAGCCATGACACAAATGCTGCAAGATGGACGTTTGAGGTGACGAAACTACTACTGTAACTACTCCTATGTTGCTACAATCGTGCGGCAATTGAGTTGAGATGCATGGATAAATAAGTTCTGAACGTCAATTCGAGTCCGGCAAGTGCACGCAATGTCAATGATTGCTTTCATGTGTGTAGCCGATGGGGTTTAGATTAGACAAGTGTGTTTTTTATGTCGTATGGCACACTACAAAACAAGAACATTTACACACACTCAATTTCTCCCCACGTTACCCTTAACCCCGCCACCGCCACCTTCCTCCTCCTATCCCCCCCCCCCCCCCCCCCC